CAACCAGTATTTGTAAAAAATGAATGAGTTTGGCAACCCTTTGCTTCCTGTTTTGAAAATGATTCACTTTTTTCCCCAGTTTTCATGTTAATTGTTTTTTCATTTGTGCTAACCAAGAGATTGTCTCTCCCTATTGTATTCATGTCATTAAAATGTATTTAGGAATAACACGTTGCATTTTGTTCAGGAAATGTAACTTCAAAATAATCCTCATAAATATTTGGATTCATTCTTAATATGTCATGCTAAAGAAATAAAAAGAAAACCCAAATATATATTTATACTGCAATCGAACCTTAAAATAATTGAGTGGACTCCAGGAGATAATGGTAGTCCAGACCACACTGAGGGGGCAGAGAACTCACCTTCTCAGGGTCCAGTGAGGCCAGAGTCCTGCCTGCATGCCGGGCCATCTCCGTCTGCTGCTCCACAGTTGGACCTGTTGGTGTCAATAAAGCTCATGAAATATAAAACACAACAAGTAGGCAAAATATTCTTCCCAGATGATGTTACACCATACCTGCAGGTTTCACTTCAGAGAAGAAGGTGCCAACTTTCTTCCCGTCCACGATGTCTGTGATGACATGGCCTGTGACTTTAGGATGTGTGCCGTTAGCGATGACAACAGACGTCCCGCCTTGAAGAGCCCAGAGGGCTGCTTTCACCTGTTCAGAGGACATTATTGAGTATAATGCACATTTTTCATAATTTAACCAACTTATTCCTGTCAACACTTTGAGATACAATATTGATCGTCATGCTGACCTTGGCTTCCATGCCGCCAATGCCGACTCTGGACTTAGTGCCGTAGGTGATGGACTGCTGATCTCCAGGATAGAATATATCAATGAGCTTGGCATCATCTGTTCCTGGGGGTCTGTCGTATAAGCCTGTGGAACAGATTTGTTCTTGTTTAATCCTTTATATTGATAACATTTTATTAAAAGAATCAAGACGGTAAACAAAACATTTATATTATTTTGATAAACCTATGATTATGTTTGATTCCTGATTAACTATTCAAAGTACTCCTGTGATTTAGCATTACTCTTCTGTGTTGTTTTGGGAACCCACAAAAAACTAAATCAGGGTACCTGATGCTGAGCTATCCTAACTTTTAGCCTCAAGTAAAGAAGAGGCTTAAAAACATGTATTCTACATTTCCTATTAAGTACATTATCTCATTAGCATCTTTCTTTTGCCCCCCTCTACCTGGCAAATGTCTTCTTCCAGTTTGTAGAAAAGGCTTTCTGTTATCAAGTCCCAAAAGCAAGCTAAGAAAACTTTGATACGACCTTCTTTTATCATAGTCACATAAGACATAAGCAAAGTTAAGTAAAGTTAATCATTATGATTCACGAACTAAGTGGAGATTTTTGTACCTTCAACATCAGAAAGGGCAATGAGCAGGTCGGCTTTCATTTCAACAGACAGTCGTGCAGCCAAGCTGTCATTATCTTTGATGCTTATTACCTAAAATACAAACAGAAATGTCATTGAACCTAAAAAATAAAATGATATTATCTAACATCATACTGTAGAACAAGAGCTTATCAGTTGCTACCATGCAACAAAAGGATCCTAGTCCCAATCAGTTGCAAAGCAAACAACACCTCTTTCTAAAAAAACACAAGCAGGTGTGTGCACCATACAAAAGCAGAAAAAAAGACCACCACACTTTGAATGAGTGCCCAACATTTAAAGCAGCCTTTAAAATGAAAACCATGTGTCCAATAAGTTATGCGTTAGTGTGGGTTGAAATGTAAGTGATGAAAAACATACGTCTTTCATTTACGCATGATTTAAGCAATCCACCATCACAATTCTGGACCACATTCATCATTCCCAGCATGCCCAACACACAATACCCACATTTCCCCCCTGCAGGTCACTGTTGGGAACAGGGGGAGGAACGACAGCATCGTTGGTGTTGATGATAGGAACTATGTTCATCCGCAGCAGTTCGTGGAGCGTGCTGTTCAGGTTGCGACGCTTCTGCTCATCATGGAAATCCAGATTGGTAACCAGAATCTACAGAAATGGACAGAGATTCAAAGAAATTAGTGACATTTCAAACTGTGTCAGCGTTTGTGAGAACAATGGAGTACATACTTGTGCAGTGCAGGTGCTGTACTGGGTGAACATAGCTTCATACAATGCCATCAGACCGCTCTGTCCAGCAGCTGCACACGCCCTTGCTTCAAGAACTGGAACCGTCTGAAAAACAGAGATTTCACTGAAGTTACCAAGACTGATAATACAATTTAACAAATGTTTATATTAGGATTATTATTCACCATTTCTTTGAGTTGGTTCTGTCCAGAATGCAAGGCTTGTCTGACGCTCTGAGACAGCAGGATCTCATGTCTCAGTCTCTGCTTCCCAAACGCCACAGCACCACTGGTGACAATCATCATCTCCCTGCCTTGATTCTGAAGCATGGCCACCTGACGGGACACAAAAAAGCTATAACATTCTGCTTTTACAGCTTATATCAATTCTTAATTTTTGTATTCTTAGTAGAGCCCCAAATAATTGTATCAACAATATAAAAGTGGTGTTACCTGCTCTACTATTGAGGCCAGGCGTCCCAGAGCCAGACCACACTCGTCGCGTGTCACCACAGCACTCCCTAGCTTCACTACAATACGTTTGGCCTGCTTTAACTCGCTGCGGTGGACAAAAGACTGCCCATGGGGACGTGGGACTGAAGAGCATAACAAAGTCATGTTTTAATACACATCATCATGCACCAAAGACCATATTATAGCAAGCAGATCAAAGAGACAATGAGAATAGTGTGCAGGTCCAGTATGACAAATAAGTAGGCTGGTAACTTACATTTACTCTGGGAATATGCTCTGATGGAAGCTGGATAGACATTTGACCGCCGGATTGTGGATGGCAGGCGAGAGCCCAAGGCCAGTTTGGCAAACATGGCACCTAAACTTGAGGACAGCTGTAAACACAAAACAGTGTCAGGTTACTGTAACCTTGTGATAACCCCATCTGAGATAAGCAGCTTTTGGATATGAAGTTGTCTGTAACTGTGCTGCTGCCTATGTTGGGCCAGGAATCTCTTTGAAAAGAGATGTGTAATATAAATGAGACCTATCCTGGTAAAATAACGGTACAATTAAACATGTAGAATAGACAGGCTGAATGGTTGGCCATCCTCGCCATACTAAACATAAAATATATAAAAATATACTAACATTATTAATTTGAACATTATTCAAGATTCAAAGGCTTTATTTGTTATGCACAGTAGCTACAGTGTAGTGATGACAATTAAAATCTTGAGTCCCAGACTGTTCCAACAATGCAACATAATTATATAGACATAAAACAGTCAAACAAATTAAAAGCAATACAAAAATAGTGCAAGAAATAACAGAATAGAAATAAAATAGTGCGAGAGAATGTTGCAAGACTAATGTGCAAGTAATGCAGGAGAGGAGAAATATATAAAAGTACAATAGACTAAAATGAGCAAAAAATAATATTAAATACTGAACAATTAAGTTACATTTCACTATGTAATTGTTTTAGCCTCACAGGAAAGCGTTGCATCATCTGCCAGCCATGAGGTTATCAGCATTGTGTTAAACTCACCGACACACTGACCCAGAGTTGATGGTGTTATTTTGATTTGTTAGCATAGAAGCATTAGCTAAAAGCTAAATAATACATGTGCTGTTCACATATTTAAACTCTAACGTGTAAAGCAGCTGAAGTTTGCAGGTTAGTAAATAGGGTTAACATAGTGTAGCTAAGTGTGTAGTGTTCCTGCTGTCAACATGTACTTGTGGCTAGCTCACTTTAGCTAACATTAGCTATTGTGAGTTACCTCACTACTTAGCTCAGCTGCTATGTTCGACTAAATGGACCTAATACATGTTAAAAAAATACTCCTTACCTGTAAATAAGAAAGTCTAGAAACTCAACTGCAACTACACTTATGAGTGCAGTACTGCAGGAGACACGTAGTCAGCCGGTGCCGACCTGCCACATCCACATCCCACGTTATATGGGATCGTTTGGGATATGTCGTAACTGCGGTATGCTCGAACGTCTTTTACGTTGAATGTCTGGCTACGTTCATGTAGTGAGAAGGGGATTACGAAAAACAGTCTTTACGTACGTAGACATTTTTCTATTGATGGGTGGATGCTCACGTAGTTTAGGGAAGTCTAAGCACAAGGGAGGGAGGAGTAAACATGTATAACACTGACAGTATGTATTTGATAAATAGTTGAAGTTTTGTCGAAGTTAAGACACACAAACAATTAGTGTAAATATATACAAATGTACATCTACAAACTATTAAATTGTGTTTTTGATGGACCATGTTTTACAATGAAAATATTGATTCAGTTAAACCTTAAACATAATTGCACCTCTGAAATTGAATGAAGGAGATTTATTTTAACGAAATTAACATATTTTAAGTAAACATGTTTTAATTATGTACAAAAGCATATCATAGAAGTAGTGTTAATCTGTTTAACTTTATAACTGCTTTAATTATTACTGAACATTAATATTGGCACATTTTGTACAAAATAATCTCAAATCAAGATTCATGCCATGACACTCCAGTAAAAACCATATACGGCTGAAGACCTTCAGATGCTGTTGAAAAAGCTCCTGAAAAATCTAGAAAGTGGACCATGAGTTCAGATTAGTGTAAATGTACCTTACCCAAAGTCAGATCTGACTAGATTAATTAATTTGTTTGATTACATTTAAATGGTATTGCATTTAGAACAAATATTTTGTAATTGAATTCCCTTAGTCCACCATTCAATTGTGTGTGGACTCCTGAGCGTTGATGGCTTAAATCAGCGAGTGAAAGATGTCATCTCATTTTTAGTAACCTGACACTGAGGCATGTGAGTGAATGAGTGCATGCCAAGAGAGTCCTGTGAAACATTCATGAGCAGAGAGGCCAGGAGTGCACACTGAGAAGCCGTAACAGCTGCTTGCAGAGCTACAGCATGGACCCTGTTGAGGAAACTTTAAAGTGTCCCGTCTGCCAGGACTTCTTTACAGATCCTGTAACGCTGCCATGTGGACATGACTTCTGTCTCACCTGTATCCGAGCTGTCTGGGGAACAGAGGGGTCTGACAAGGCTCCTTTCTTCTGTCCAGAGTGTCAGATATTCCTTCCCTCTAACCTCACTCTGGAGGTCAACACCAGCCTTCAGACCAAAGTAAAGGACCTCGCCACTAACCGGCCGCCAACAGCAGAGCAAAGGACAACTACTCAAAGCAGGGCAACTACGTCATCTTCGACTATCCACTGTGATCACTGCATAGAGTCGCCATCGGTGGCCATAAAGACCTGTCTGACCTGCGATGCCTCACTATGCCAGGCCCACGCCCTGCTTCACCAGCAGAGAACTGCTCTGAGGGAGCACACAGTGGTGGAGGTGACGGAGGATCCGCTGTCTCTGAAGTGCAGGGAGCACCGTGATGAGCTCAAGCTGTTCTGCATGGAGGAGAGGGTCCCTGTGTGCTGCCTGTGTCTCCTGGTTGGCATGCACAAGAACCACAAAGCAGTTCAACTCCAAGAAGCCTGCGCAGATTTCAAGGTGAGTACAGATAGCGATTTGTCATCAGCTACGTTTTATTCATTTGGTATTTTCAGGATTATTTATGTTCTATAGGTCTGCTGTATTTCTGTCTACAGAGCATATTAGAGGCCACCATGAACCAACTGCTGAAGAGGAGAAATGAAGCAGAACATGCCATTAAGGACTTGGAGTCATTGTATACTCAAACACTGGTACAGTCATCCAAAAAATACCCTCTTCTACACTGAAAAAACTGAAAAGTTTACTTTAATTAAATGTATTATGTCAACAGATTTCCCATAATTAGGTTAGTTGAAAGCAATAATATTACGTTTAAATAAAATGTACAAACATCTTAATATTATTTCTTTCAACTAACCTAATGCAGTGATGTGAAATTTGTAAACATAATACATCCGATTAAAGTTAACTTTTCCGTTTTCTAAGTGTATTCCGTTTATATTTGGAACCATTTCTTAAATAATGTGTTTTTTTTGTTTTGTATTTCTTAGAAGTCTGCTGCAGATTTCAGAGAGAGAATCTCAGACAAGTACAGCAGGATCCGTGTTGTGCTGGACGGGGATGAGCGTCTGATGATGCAGATTATAGACGCAGAGGAGACGTACATGACAGAGTGGCTGGAGGCCCAGAGAGGCAGCATGGAGGCTCAGATCAAAGAGATAGACAGCCTGAGGGCCTCCAGCAAATCACTTCTCCGAGAAACAAATGAGCTGCGATTCCTACAGGTAGGTTCCCTAAATATTATGGCAGTGGGTTATTGTGATCATAAAATGTCTTGTACAAACATAGACGGATTAATGAACAGGCTTACTGGGCATGTGCAGGGTCTCAGCTGGTTAGGGGATCCCTAGGCCAGACCCAACATTTTTTATTGCGATGTCACAAAGGGGTATTCGATTGCCACAGGGACGCAAGATGACCTGTGAAGGAGTCAAAAAACGTCAAATTAAGAAACCAAATAAGTCCAACAAGAGAAGTACATCTACCAACACATGCATTGCAACTAAAGACAGACACAATACATTACCAAAAAGAGATGTTGCACAACCTCAAAGAGATGCAAAACAATCAGAAAGAGACATATCAGTCCACAGAAGAGACACAAAATGACTACTAAAGGATGTGGAAAAAAAACAAGAGACATAATACAACCAAATAGAGACACAATAACACCACGTTGAATCATAAAACATCTACAGAGAGACACAAAATGATCAAAAAGAGAAGCAAACAACCAAAAGAAGATGTAACACAACCAAAAACAGTTTTAAAAAGACCATAAAGAGACACAAAAACAATACAAATAGCCCTTTACATGTCTGTGCACAGGAACCCATTGCCTCATAATCCGTCTATGTGTACAAATGTTTTCTGCTATCGCGATATGTGCAAGACCAAATGATCTGTTTCTTTTTTCAACAGCAAATCACTGCACAGAATCGTTGGTGAGTAAACGGTCACTCTGTTTGTAATTACCACATTCCATTTATTTCCTTCTAATGGTTTTCTGTAATTTTTTCTAGCGACCCTTTAGATTTAGCACCAATCCAGGAAGTAGACAAAGATCTGTGTGACCTTGAAAAGCTGAGAACAGTAGAGAGGCTGGTGGATGACCTCTCAGTGGCTCTGTCCCAACACTTTCCCAGGATGTGGTCATGTAAGTAAAGCATCTAATATTATGCAGTCTAAAATCAACCTCCACTAGTTGTGTACCGACAGTATATTTTTTATTTACAGATCTAAGTTCTCCTGCTCTGGACTCCAAGTCAGCCCATCCGAAACTGGAAATATCCCAGGATAGGAAACAAGTGTACTGGAGAAGGCCGTCTGTCAGTGAAGCTCAGAGCCCTCAGCCATATGACTCCCAGTGCAGTGTCCTTGCTCAGGAGAGTTTCACTACTGGTCAGCACTACTGGGAGGTCATTGTTCAGGAGAAACCTTACTGGCTAATGGGTTTGACCACAGGGCCAGTCGATAACAAAGATGCTCCAAATCACAGTTCCTCCAGCCTGGGCGTAAACAACACATCCTGGTGCATCTACCATGGGGACGGGAAGTACCTGGCCTGCCATGACACCCAGGAGAAGCTGCTGTCGGTGGGAAAGAGAATCAGAAAGCTGGGCATACTGGCAAATCTCCAGAAGGGGGAGCTGTCATTCTACGACGCTGATGCAATGACCCTGATTCACTCTTTCTGTGTGCAGTGCACTGAGCCTCTTTACCCCATGTTGAACCCCTGCATTGATTTAAATGGACTGAACATGCAGCCTCTTACCATGTTTTGGATTAAGGACCCCTGGGATGTAAACAGAAACGGGGGCAAAGACTAAAATGGCTTACTGATGATGTGTGTTCATCACATTTTTCCATGTTTATTGGGTTTTTGCTCTCATGAAATAACCTTAGGAACATTTCAAACATAGTTCCTCTGTCTGGATCTTTCCCGGTAAACTATGATCAAGGAATTGACCTACCTCTATATTGAAGTAATAACGAGAGCAGTTAAAGATAATGAACATATCAGCAGCAATATGATGTTCTGATACTATATCATTGTGATCATATAAAGCTGATGTTTTATAGAAAGCTCTTAAAGTGGACCTATCATGCTATATTTGAATAATATTTATACTTTTTTTTTTTTCAAAATACCAAACAGATCATGCATTTTAGCCATGCCTCATTTTGCTCAATTGACATTTTTTAGCTCTGTTTTTGCAAGGGCAGATTCTGTGAGAACAGCACCATCTACAGGCCTGGCATATGTACTACAGCGTCTCCAGCGCTTTCGAACGGCAATGGCCGTGGCTGTCTCCTCCTGATTGGTGGAGTTGGCCCAATAGCCTTAGCGCCACCGTCCTGACGTCAGGACAGTGTTCAAATCTGGATCAGTTTTTATCAGATCCGTTGCAGCCCCTTTTTTAGAGATTTGGGTATGGAGGAAAATAGAGAGGGTTGTGTTTTCTGACACTTGGTGAGTTCCCTGGAACACCGGGGACACATATTCATGTATAAAAGACGTACAAAAGTGCATTTTGCATGATAGGTCCCCTTTAAGTAATAAATATTGGTGTCTAGTTCATGATTCATAGTCGTTTCTATATTGTTTTTTCAGTGTCATGAGCAGTAAATATTTAATAAGTGGTATCGGCTGCACCCTCCCTCAAAGAGCACTTTTGTTCTGTGGTAAAGTCTTTCTTCTCGGTCAGCAGCTTAGCAGCTCTCATGTTTACTTGATGTAGTTGAGGCAGTACATGGACCGTGCGTAAACCACAGGCTCGTTCTTTGTACCACTGTCCCCTCGGCTCACCAGACCATGGAGGACATGCGTGTCTTCATTCTCACATGTCAGTGGTCTTACAAAATTGCTGCCCTGAAGCACACAAAATACCCAATCATCTGTCACCCAGGACTTTTCATAGACTTTGAAGCTGGAGCATTTTTTGTGGCTCATAATAACCAGAACTATGCAAGACATTGTCAGCCTAAAAGGTGGTGACAAAATAAGAAAATGTAATCCTGTCGATTATATAAATGATTTTAGTCCTCATATACTGTAACTGTGCCATCATCACTGATGCATTTGAACACATTTCTTCAATGAAGGATTGGGATGGAGGTTATTTTCCAACATTCCTCTCAAAACTGACTTACAATTATAATGTAATTTCTGTTGAGAGACTAAGAAAAACTGAGCTTGAGTACTAAGAAAATATGACACCATTTCCCATGTTTCTGATTTGTCACATTTGAAATCGAGTGTTTTCCTTTTTCTCCACACTGGTAATTTTAATACATTTTGGATCACCTTGGCTAGAATAAAAGCAAAGATTCAGGGGAAAAAACAAAGAAATATGACATTTATTTGATAGTAGATTTCAGAATGTTGATCTGTTCTTGACGTAACACATTAAACAGAAATGACACATTTTCTTAATTTCTTAGGATGGTTGTATTAAGAAGCATAGGAATTTAAAATGGTATTTGAATACCAGATACAACTGCGTATAACCAAAAAGCGAAGTCATGATGAGTAAGACTTGCTAACCAAGTCCTTTCGCTACACTGGCAAGATGCTGAGTAAGAGAGTTTGCTTATGCAGATGCTGCTTGAGTCTTTGACTTGATCCAGTCCAGGAAGTGAGTGACCCTTGTGTAGACCCCGGGCTTGTTCTTCCTTCCACATTTGTCTCCCCAACTCACCAGACCATAAACAACGCTGTTGGTGTTCTGCTCACATGTTAATGGTCCTCCAGAATCACCCTGAAACACGAGCAAACAGCTGACCAGATAGCATAAACACACACACGTTTTAAAAGTTTACTGCAGGAAAGTAAGTAAGTCATGCAGATATTTTGACGGATGGGAATGTTGCTCTACTAACCTGACAGGAATCTACCCCTCCCATCAGGTGGCCAGCACAGAACATCGTGTTATCCAGGACGCGGCCATAAATATCAGGTTCAGAGCACTTCTCCTGGTTAATCAGCAGTACATTGGCCTCCAGCAGGTGGTTGGAACCAGCTAGAGCTGCAGACAGAAGGTAGAACAATTAACAAATGCAACAAAACTGTCATACAGAAGCCGCTTCTAACTTCAGGGGTTGTGTGCAAATACAGATTAAGGATATACAAAAAACAAACAATCAATCCTCTAAAATAAACTAATCTTAATTTGATCAAGTGTATGAATATGTGAAAATGGCCTTACATTCTTCTGTGGCACCCCATCCAGAGATTTTACACTCCATCCCATCAGGCAGCTGGGCATCAGGCAGACAGGCGGTCTTCACAAACTGAGTCTCATTGGCACAAACGCCATCAGTGCCTTCCAGCCTTAATAAGGCTTTGAAAATGAAATTTGGATAAGATTACAACAAGTCCTCACATCCAATCCTTATTCAACTATAAAGGATCAAAGCTCAAAAGGATAAATGAAGTCAAAATTCTCTTGTTGGTAAGAAATACGTTGCTTGTATAAAATGAGAGAAAGACTTGGCTCACCTATGTCATTGTAAACAGCTTCAGTAGTCTCTCTGTAGTTCTCATGCAGGATAGCCTCTTGAACTTTTATGACTTGCTCTGTGGGTTCCTCATCATTCAGTGACAGACTTCCTAAAACCACCTGCATGTCCTTCATTGGTTGCCTGTGCAACAAAAACAAATAACACATGATTCAATAAATATTAAAGCAAAAATACATATATGTGCCCAGTGTTGGAGATATGGAATTAAATAGCACTTAGTTTGTGATGCTCAAAGTGCCAAAAATACATACAACAGCAATGCCTTTTCAGAGATCCTGACACAGTTACTCATACATACTGTTGACCCTGTCGTGAGCTTTTTCATTTAGGAACTAGTATCGTTCTACCTTATCGACGCGCAAGAAAAAGCTTGCATCTTCTCATGGATGAGGGGCTCATGCTTTTGCTTGTGTGAGATTTAAACATTAATGGTGTCCTCCGGTATAGTTGCACACTTTCTTCTTTATGGTTCATAGATAAATCTGCTCACAACAAGGTCTGTAAATGATCTTAAGTATAACCACGTCATGATTTCTGGATTGGGACATTACTGTTTAATTTTTTGGGGCATTGAAAAGCCAAGCACTGTCTAGTTACATTAAGCTTGAGAGAAGGCTAGAGGTTGAACTGTCCCTTTTATGTGATATGTTTACCATTATCAGCCAATGTGTTGTGTTTTTTGCTGATTTGCACTCAATAGTTTGGTGCTTACATGCAGTGTCCAGCCGTCAGCACCCAGCAGCTCTCGATGAGAACTCCTCCACACGTGTGTGTGAAGCGCTGGTTGGAGTTCTTTGGTTTCACTTGCAGGGACACCTGCCAGGGTACAGCCCCGGGAGGGACCTTCAGACCCCCAAAGATTCGGGTCATTTTCTTTTTCGGCTGAGCCTTCCCGCAGGTGGCGAACTGCTGCGGTCCAGGGGTGGCGGTAGGGACGAAAGTCTCAGTTGGTGTAGGATAAGTTGTTGGAGCCTGGGTGGGGTCCTCAGGGTTTACCGGGACGATTGGAGTTGTTTCAGGCTGGGGGGCGGCGTCTGTAGGGACGATGATAGTTGAGACGATGACAGTTGGGACGATGACAGTTGGGGCAATGTCTGTTGGGACAATGTCTGTTGGGACAATGTCTGTTGGGACGATGTCTGTTGGCGACTCACCTGAAAACACATGCACAAGAAGATGACAGAAGAAAGCACATTTTTTCAGGGGAGACACTGCAGAAGAATGGGGTAAAACATTTAAATAATAGATTACAACATTTAACTTCCCAAGTTGATTATTTAGACAATTCTAGTTTGTATTACCATTTTCCTCAAATTAAATGTTTAAATATGCAAATGAGGCATTATCTCATGAGAGCTTGAAGTGTGCTAAATTGCATTTCTGGAACAGAAATCTGAACATTGCAAAAGACGGGTTTAACATTTTTACATATTAGAGTATAAGGTTTTTAATTGAACTTTTAACTGAATTGTTTTGTATTATTATTTTATTCGTATATATATTTATATATATATATATATATGGGTGTATATATATGTATATACTTTTTATATGAGTTGGTATTAAGTGTTTTTTTATGTGTTACCTGATTATTACCTGGGGAAGGGGGGGATAGTATTGTTTTTATTTGTAAATTGTCTATGTTGAATCATTTTGAGTTACCTTTGTGTATGAAAAGTGATATACAAATAAAGTTGATTTGATTTTATCATGCTCAGGAGGCCAACAGTTCATTTCAAACTGTAAAATGTATGTGTGGAAATGTAGAGCTATTTGTGATTGAATCAATCAATCAATCAATCAAATTGTATTTCTATGGCTCAGTATCAGAAATGACAGTTGTCCAAGGGGGCTTTAGTAGAGCATAGCACGATGAATTTACACTCTACAGCAGTCTGCATTGATCTTTGAATTCATGTCAGTGATTCTCACAGTATCTGCCTATATCTGCGTTTCTTCATAGTGGCTCGTCTGAAGCTTTACCTGTTGGTACTGGACACTCTGTGACATTACAGGTGTCCCACAACAACTTGGGGCCTTTTCTGTAGAAGCACCAGGGCATCGATTCTCCGTCTGGGTTTCTGTGTCATAGAAACATTTGTGAGTGAGCATCCTCCTGTAGATGTCCTCTGCTATTATACTTATTAATGTCATGTTCTCCCTACCTGCAGAAGTTGTGAGGGCCAAGTCCATCTTGGTCCTCGAAGGAGTTAAAGGGATCCACTCCTTTCTCCAGGATGAAGTGAGAGTTCCAGTAGAGGCATTCGTGGTCGTCATCTGTCTCAGTCACAGTGCCACGATACGACTCTCCGTCACCCACGTAGCAGTCACCTGGGCCTAAGACATATACCTCACCCAGTCAGTATATGAGTAAAATTATGCATATATTGGGTTGTGAGAAGAAAAGTAATATTTTCACTTGTCGTATTTACCAACATGGCAGAAACGTCCTCTAAACCCTACTGGGCACAGGCAGTCAAAGTCATTGCCTTCATTGACGCATTTTCCACCATTCCGACATGGATTAGGCTCACATAATGAATCTTTGGAGAAAAACGGTTCACAGTGAAAGTGTGCTCTCAATAACTGTAGCAACTTGTTGAAATATACATTGTTTTCATTTTTGGACAAAGACCAATTCTTACAGCTTCTGCAGTGTGGAGGCTGGAAGGGCGCCTTGCATTTGCACTCGTAGAATGGGCGAGTTGAAGTCAGGACACATTCACCCCGCCCACATCTACCTCTTCTACAAGCCTTTGGACCTGTGATGATACAGTAGTTTTAACTTACCGTTGCTTTATACAAAGACATGGTAGAAAAACATGGTACTAATTGTCTTTTTTACAAACCTTTCTGGCATTTCTTTCCCTTGAAAGGATTGGGACAATCACATTCAAAGTTCCTTTTCCTTCCCCCTTTTTCCTCACACACTCCATTGTGGAGGCAAGGGTTTGGGTCGCAATGGCCTAATAAATTAGAAAAGTCAAGAGGGGAACATAAGCTGGAATCAGAGCTTTCCAATATTTTGTTGACAGGCTACCTGAGTTTGAACTATCTTACCTTCTGGCTCTTGAAGTTCAAAAAGCCAGTCGGAATTTGGTTCGTCATCATCGTCATCATCACCATCACCATCCCCAGCTCCGTCCAGGATCGTAAAGAATATGTCTAAAAAGATATCTTACTCAATAAATTGTAAAGTATTATTGCCATCCTCCCACCTTTACCCTTTAAAACTAAATGTCACAAATGATTTAGCATTCATGCTCAAATCCAACAAGTGTAAAGAATCAGAATTTACATGAATGGTAAAAAAACAGTAATATATTCATCCCTAATTGCACATCATAGGAAAATATATAAAAACGAGATACATCAAAAGTACAACACAAACACACTAACCGTTAATTATGTCCTCAAATCTTCCTCTTTTTCTGTCGTGTTTATGATGTCCATGTCCTCGAAGCTCATCAGCATGATGATCATGTTTTTTCTTTTTGCGTTTTAGCTGAATAATAATTTGACAGTTCCCCATTAGTCATAATTATAAAAGATAATGTGCAGTAGAAATGTGTTGGAGTGAATGTATCTTGTTTAACAGAAACTTCAAGATACTGTTGATACATTTTATTAAAAAGCCTTATCAAACAACATTACGAATAGCACTCAATACATTTGCTAAATGCTACACAATTGCTGTATATACAATGAATACATACTTCAGCAGGTATGAGGAGCACCGCCAAGAAGAGGCAAAAGAAGAGGAGCTTTAGGTTCATGATGGCAGGGGCTCAGAGGACTTCCAGGAGAGTGAGATGGGAGTGCACTGCTTGGCAGATCACTCACTCTTTTTTAAGCATTTGGTTAAGTTCACTAACCTTTGATCCTGCTGGGTTTAGTGCCGCCCCTGTTGGTGAGTCACATTTATCGATTTTAACTGGGCTCTTGGAAACCTGTTTCTCCGTGATGAAGGCAAAACATGTGAGTGAATGCTTAAAATAGACCCAAAGAAATTGTAAAAAATGTTGACCCTCTTGAAAAATAGTTGACCCTCTTGAAAAAATGTTGACCCTCTTGAAACATTTTCCCTTATTAAAATTCATTATAACATATTTTGAACACACAGGATAACTGAGTACTCAGTTGCAACATTAAGGCTCAAAGAGCATATTTGCATATTTGCCAATTGTTTGTTTGAGTATAGACTTTGAATCCAAATAAACTCAGTGCATTTCAGGATAAGTTTTAGATCTCGTACAACATTTACAAAATCAGTAAAGTGTATTCCTTACAGTGTAATCCCAATCAAAATAATCACTTGTTCACTTGATCTTGTTAAAAAATAATTTATATAAGGAGCTCCTACTCCTAATCCTACTTGACATTTTCACCACATTGTACCTGTTTGTCATGTGAAATATATTCTATGATTTAAAATAGGGCTTTAGTATCAGCAAGAGTACCCCTTTCTATTGAGGCCCCCTTTATAAAGGGTTTTATTATAACTAATAGCTTTAATATATGTCAATGAAGAACTTAATGTTTTATAGATGATGTCCTCCTTTAACATGAAACATTTAGTAAACTCATAATTTTATAACAAATTAATTAGGAAAAAACATTGACCTCTACCTCTACCAATAACTTATAAACCTTTATAATTAGTAAATAATTGGAAAGTGGTGCCTCAGCAAGGAATTACGTAAAATAAATGTGTGGAGCCACTCATCCTTGATCACTAGTAGGAGATGAAGCATTACAGATCACAATAGGATTAGCATTGGTGCCCTTGTGGTCATGACCCGGACACACGGCCAGGTGGAGGCAGTCTGAGAAAGTTCCTGCACAGAAGGAGAACAGCGGAGTCATGTTCTCCGCCTCAAGAAACGTCACCAATCCTGCGGGGAAACTACACAGAACACCAATCCGGCTGAAGCGTTTTGTGAAAGGCAGCTGATGGGGCAACCCTCCGTGCCAGGCTGTATACTCCCCATCAAAGAACTCCACGCACCAGGACTCAACCCCCCGGCCCAGCCAGCAGTCCTCTGTGTTGCCCTTTCGGGGAATGCTGGGATAAGTGACGCCTAGCTCCCAGTATGTCTTCCCACTCACATCAATCTCCCAGTAATGGCGACCACAGCTGAATCCTTGCACGCTGATGACATTGAGGGTGGTGTCAAAGCGTCCAGGGAGGTCCGGGAGTTGCTGCCAGGTGTCGGTGTAGGTGGCACTGTCACCCTGGGGGGAGATGATCAGCTTTGGGTGGGACGTCTCTGGATCCAGATACACCTCGCTGGAATCTGGAGACACAATTGAATCAAGTTTTATACAGACAGAAAACTAAAAGCTCAAGTTGTGTTTATGAATATATATAACACTGACAACTGTGGGTGAGTTTCCTGATTAAAGGGGTCTGTGAGCTGATGAACAGCAGCATGTTGTGGGTGAGGCTGAGGATCTGGTCAGCTTTAACTTCATCCAGGCTCACACTGCTGGGGTCTGTCCTGTTCAGCAGATCCATCACTCTGGAGGAGGCAGACAGCAGAGAGATTAGCCGCTGCTAATGCTACTGTTTTCATCATTGGTTTTGTTTTGATTCCATACCTGTCCACTGTCTCTGTGTTCCGCTGCTCAGGGAATGAGAAGAAAGACTAAGGAAAAATGCAGGGGAGAAAAATGAAGATCAAATGAACTTTGAAAGGAAAATGTTTGGTTTCAATACACAAATGTACGGAAGCCCTGAGAGGCCAGAACAATTATTCTGGTGATCAATTTTCTAAGGCTGATCTAAATAGTTGTCTGTCCTGCTATTATGATTCATGTGAAAACAAAGGTTTTGCCGGGATAAAAGTTGATTCTTTTTCTTTTCATCTGTGATAAAGATAGGAACGTTTTCATTTTACTATAATGACAGACCTCAGTGTGTGTATATATGTTTGAGTTTGGATTATCTCGCTGTTAGGAAAATATCACTCGTCACCGGCTTGATCTTCAATATCAGGATACATGTATATTTTATCCTTGCAAGAATGGAAGTAGTCATCACATACAGAGCTGCATGGGACAAAATTGTTCCCAGAACAGTGTCCTTCACATGCCTTATATACAAGAGAGGGTCTATCACTGTCACAAGATGCATGAATACCGGTTCAAAGCAGTATTCTATGCTAAATTCAGATTAGCTAAGGCCCACGTAAGCAATAAACATGACAGTCATATGTCTATCTTCATAGAGGCTGAATCATCATGTTGTCACATAGCTACTGTATCATATGCCTAAAACAGTGGGTCCTGACGCTCTTCTAGGTAATCATACATCCGGTTACGTACAGCTACGTAGGGCCTTTGTTATCATGTGCTACTCTGATATTGGAAGAGCACATTCAGTATTTTCCCAACACTCGCCAAATCTTAGTCCGATCTACTTCACGTTTGGCATGTGTGTTGTTGAGGCCCCGAGATAGTGAAGTGGCAATTTGGATCAGAGGTTCTGTACAAAACTTTGGTTAAAACCTGCACTAAGCCGCAAAACTTTAAATAGACGCGCATCAAAAACTATATAACAGGGGTACCACGTCCGCATAGCGCCAAGATCAGATTGAGTATGATGTCTTTCACAAATGTGCACACCTGACTGTGACAGAATGGACGAAGTTTTTTTGTGTTAAACAAGCGGCATGTTTCCCCTGTAACGTTACGGTACATCTAGCATCCACATTTGCTGTCCTTATGCCTGCGGTATGAACATTTAATGGGGCTTTGACTTTCTGCTATAACATTTTCATGGAAGCTTTGGCCCTCATGATGCGTAGCATTGCCTACGTAAATGTGTGCATAGACTCACTTCAAAACGCAAGGAGCAGCGGCACAGCATACCAAAGCAGGCACTTCACTAGTGATGATATATGATTAAAAGCATTCATGTTTACTTCCAGGTCAGTAACTCAATGCGCTTTTAACACAACGTACAAAACCCACAGTATATGTTTCCAGCTGTTTCACAGATGAAAAAACATTTAAAGAAAGTAAGAAATATTATGCCAGCAAAACCTTTTTCCCAACCGTTCTTAAGTCTTTATCAAAGGAGAGAAATTCATTTTAATAAGACATAGATAATCATTTATTTTAAATGTTTACGTGCCTCTCAGGGCTTCCATACCGATGACGATGTAAATAGGAAATATTAGGCCCACATGACTTGTGGTTTAATCACCATTGTATCATGCTCTGTGTCTGACTGGGCCATAATTGCCACAGTGAGTCTGGCCAGGTCCTGCTCTATCTCCTGAATCAGAGAACAGTTCCTTTCCATGAGCCCATCCAGAGCAGAGACAGCGGCGCGCTCCTCCATCTCCAGGTGGGACAGGGTGATCCTCAGGTCCTCGTCCAGGGCCGCCTGGATCTCTCGATACTTCCGTATGATTTTCTCTCTTATCACAGAGGACTTTTTCTGAGTCAGGCATAAGCATTTATCAGTTTATTATACTGCCTTATCACTAGCGAAGCCATTTTGTATATATATAAATGTGTCTGTTGATTGTGTATATATAGGATATACATATTTGTATACATATTTTTATATATTTGTATTTTTGTATTCGGGATTGTGGGAAACGGTATTTCGATCTCTCTGTCTTTACACACAAACTGAAAGATTGACAATGAAGTTGACTTTTACTTGACTTTGACTTTGATTTTCAAATACTATATAACTATAAAGACAGAAATAATACAATTTCAACACTAAGTAGTCTCAACACAACTTACTGTGATTTCTGATTGCCGTGCAGCCAGTTTTTTCAGTCTGTATTTCACTGCATCCCTTTGCCTCTTCAGACACTCTTGGTGCTTTTCTAATGTCTCCTGTAGAAAGAGATTCACAAATATTCACTACAGCTCATTTGAACAAAGTCAGACACATTGTTTGTGGTGAAGTGAAGAGGCAGAAGCAGTTTATTGTGCGATATATATGGGGATAGCTACAAAGCCGTGTGAAAAGTTGCTCTGACGTTCTTATAGGACAACAATATCCATGTCAAAAAACTGCCATATAAATATTATATAATAATACTGTTTTCCAATTATGCTAGGTCAAATATTTTAAGAAAATTCAGTACTGATTATCACTTGTAAATATGTATTAATTTGTATTTACTTTAAATGGCAGTTTGTTGACATAATGCCACTGAAGGGGAAAAAATGAAATGATTTTCTGTAATGTATACGCAAAGTGTATGCTTTATCAAAATAACATGAGAAAATGGAGCAAGGGCTCCAGATTGAAAGCATGATATATTAGAAACCATGATGTTATGCCATTGGATCAAAAAAGTGTGTTTTAATGGGTCAAATTGAAGACATTTTTTTCCTTTTGGATCTGAGTATCTGTATTTTGTCTACAGTTTATTAAGGGCTTATAATAGGAACTGAGGTTGAACATCCCAGCAACACAAAAAAACACACACGTTAACATGGCAAACATGTTTAAAATATATATAAATATATAGCCAAAAATGTCCCATTCTCTCTGCATTTTAAGACAGTATTTTTAAACAATCAGTTTCTTGTAGCAGCATTGGATGCACTGCTGTGTTGCTGCCACCCAATCAGAAATCAGAAATGCTGCCCATTGATTTTCTCATTGCCATTATATGACCTGCAAGCTGCAGTGTTGTGAAACCAGAGGCAGCCATCAGCCCTCCATAAGTGTCAGTGTTCGTCAGTGCTGCCTTCTCCAGGAGGAAATTATAATTGTTGTGTCAACATCACTCAAATGTGTCCCACTATAATTCCCTCTGTGACTGAACGAGGTCACACAGCAGCTCTCTGAACAAGTGATACATTTGATACTTAAGGAGAATAATTTGCACATTTGTGCACTCCTTAATACAAATTATTTATGCTTTACACCACCATATACATTTTCAAGAGTACACCATGGTTTTCTGAAGTGTTAAAGTCTCCCTCCACACAGAAGTAAATTGAGCTTATTGTTACCTCACTGTGCAGGATGTATATGTACACCATTAACACTCATCTGGTATATGAGGAATGTTTCTCAGTGATCAATTTAAATGCATCTGGATTTTTTACTGTAAGTTAAAAAGATAAGATGCAATTTAAAACAACAAATGAAGCAACTTTAAACAAACTTGAAATAAGTTATATATTTATTGAAAATTGGTCACTTATTTCTTACCAAGTCTTATTAGTATTTCATTCGCAATTGTTCTTTAAAATATTCTGAGGTTGTGTTAGCAATCTGTTTGGGGATGTGTGTGGGAGAGAAACTCCTGCTGGAGGGAACTTTGGGATTGTAGACCTATAACACCAGGAGAGGGAAATGCCCAAATATAGGGCCTTTTTAAAAAAACAGAAGGCTGTTTAGTGTTCACAGTGATACTTTGTTTCTCAAGCATGAGTTATATTAAATTCCAACCACACCAATGTGGAAATATGAACAGATTGTTTTTTAGCATTTGAAACCGTTTGCTTCAGAAACTGTTACATATGCAGTATATAATGAGTTGTAAATCGGTTTTCCACACACAATCTCTAATGGAGTTTGGATTTTGGCAGTGCTACAGTATGAGAAGATTGACTGTATTTGTACTGTGTGGTTGTTGTTCACTGCTCTGTGTTGACATAAAAGGAATTTCCTAACCCAACTTTTTCACCAAAGCAGCAAAATAAACCCTTAATATTTGTATTTGTATTGATTTGTATTTGCCAAGTTCACGTAAAAAGAGATTTCACCACAGGGGCCCCAACTAATCAGTTTGTGTAGAAAGCAAATAGAGTCCACCATCTGACTGGCCGTATAAAAGTAACCCAGTCCTGAGACTACCTTTCACCCTGTGTAGCCCTACAGAAGCTGTGTGTTTATTGGTGCGATGCAAAGAAGAAACCAGAGAACAGAAAAGAGGCGGTGGGTACCTTTGGAATAGCTGAGGATCATATGGTTCATGGTGATTTAAAGCTTTATTGGCTTAAATTTCAATACAACAAATGGCAGTGTGGGTTTTTCATTTATAAAACAGTACTTCCAAATACAGTTGATTCTCACATTGGGTGTTTCTTTTATATTTGTTGGTTACTGTATTTTGGATACGGCACTAAAATATATAAGATTTGTACTTCCAATACATGTAAAGGGAATGTGTCTGGCCATGTTTATGAGAGCCTGAGAAGAGAGACATTTTCTTTTTGTCAGGGTCAGATGAATGTTTGGATTGTACAGAAGCAAGGGGAGGGGACTGGCAATGTGTAGGGGTTTCCATGGAGATCTGGTAAAACAGTTGATGGGTCCGCTCACTGCTTTCCCTGTGGCTTTTTTATTTATTTTATTCAAAGACTCACTGAGCCGATTCTTGCGAACTTTGGGCAAAATCAGTTTCAGCCCAAGCGTTGGGAAAGCGGATACATGTTCAAGCTACGAGCATGGACATTTGGTAATGGCGCCATGAGGTTCTACCGTACTTACAAAGTTCCACAGGAATCAACAGCAACAAATAGTAGGAAGAAACAAGCAAGAAAGAAAGGAAAGCAGTTCCACTCGAAGCAAAGCAAGAAGTAAAACAAGCGCAGTCAAACCAAATAACATGAACCTATTTATCAATCATTCTCATTCTTTGTCATTTTTGAACATGGAAAAGATTCCTTGTTTCCTGTGCAAGTCTAACTGGACAAATCCTTCAGCTCACAGTCTCAGGAAGCTTCAGAGCAACAAAAAAAGTTCAGTCCATCTTGTGGCTTCCTTGAATTATGCCAGGATAAAACAAAAATAATCCAGAAGAAAAAGGAAATAAACCCAAAAACCTACATCTAGATTACAGTTTGTTGTGTGCTATCTGGATGAATGTACAGTATGTGCATGCTGCTCTGAGTGCTAGAAGAGCTTGGCCTTCTTTTTCATGTCGTTGCGTTTCCACAGGGGAAGCCTGTCAAACTCCTGGACCTCCATTCCAAAGATGTCAAAGAACAATTCGGGTGCTAAGTGGCGCTAGAAATTGAGAACAAAGGTGGAGAAAACAAAGGAGGGGAGGGGGGAAGGGGAGTGTTCGTGGTTAGCACCAAAGCCACAAAAAAAGGTTCCCACAGCAAAAATGACAAGAAGCAATGGATGCACATTCCTTGATACAAATTGTATTTGTGTAACATTGTTATTTACACAAAGTAGAGAAATCCAGTATCAATTGCGGACAATCAGGTGGAAATCTGATACCTCCAGTCTGGTTCTGTCCACATCCCTGGGCAGTTTAGCTCTCCCTCTACTGGTTATCATGAGCATTTCATAGGGATACACCTTCAGAAGGAGACACCGAGTCAGTGAACACGTCAAAACTACAGGCTAGAGTTAAGCTTCACAGACCATTTAAATCCGACAAAAGGAATAAAATGTGAATATTTGTGTAGTTCTGATTGTGACAGAGGGAACACTGGGTGGGAGTGAGAGGAGGCTGACTGGGAGTGAGAGCCGTTGTTTAGGTTGTTGAGGAGAAATGCAGGTGCTATGGTGTGCACACTTTTGTTGTTGTACAAATGTGCAATAGATTAGGCAAGGGCAAAAACATGAAAACAGAGTTATTTAACAGCTGTATTTCTTAAGTTATTTACCGCAAACACAATAATGTAGGCTAAGTAAATCCACACGGGAATGATTTTCCTGGAAACTGAGGTACTTGTACTTTTTCTAAATAACTAATCCCCTCCTGAATCTGGCAAATGGTAGTTGTTTATTTAGCTGAAATGCTCAATAATAAGCAACTAGAAGTTATTTGTGACCAACTCATATCCACACAGTTATGTAAAATGTCTTATATACTATGCAGTATATAGTGATATGAGTTGTTTGGATGACAATATATGCGTTTGGAATCTCCACTGTATGCTGCATACAGTATCCAGCCTCTTTAAGTCAGAGCTATGTGCAGATGAGCATGGAGAAGCCAGCATGGAGAAGCTAGCATGCTAAGCGTGACTCAGCTCCAGAAGCAGCATGCTAAATCAGAAATGTGAGTCTTTCACCTCCAGTAAAAAAAACTCTTTTAGTTCTCTATTTCTTCCACCAATGTCCCCGCCCTACAAGGCTAAATACAACTTCATCTTCCTGTTTTGGGCTGGTCTCTTTGTTTGAAAGTGTGGTTAGTCTATATCTAAATTAGTTGCAAAAATGTCTCCTGGTTTGGCTAAATGCTCTAAAAGGTTAGTGGGGTTATATGAGGTACTTACCGACCGATGTGGGTATTTCTCTGTAAGTGGGGCAGCAGCTAAATGTATTATATCTACCTGCAGCTGCTATTTATGCTTTGTTAAAAGCCGCCAGCCTCTATTGACAAAAAACTGTATTTTTACTTTGAAGATCAAGAAAATCACTGGTATACTATTATGGTGTGATTTTGGAAAGTACAAATTCCCCAAAGTCACACATTAACGTAAACTAACCAACCAAACAGCTGTAGACAACCTCCTCTGTTCTGCGAGGTAAAATTACAATATTTATCAATGGAATTGGAGAAGGTGAAGCATATATATCAGCTTCAGTTCCCCGTCAGATAGGGTTATCTGATGGCAATATAAAGCAATTAAAATGTTCTAAATATAGTGTACACATGAACTTAAAATGATTATTTTAGGGGCCGAATGTATGTTTTGCTGCTGCCCCCGTCCACAGCAGAACATTGCCTAGCTTCCGTGTGTGCACTCCAAAAAACTGTAAGTAATACACTAAGTACGATAAGTACCTCATACAGCCCCACTATATATAATTTTACTTATCCGGTTGAATAGTGAACAATGTAGGGATTTTGTATATATATTTCAGTGCAGATTACAATGTTGTCATCAGTGCAAAAAGGAGAAGATACTTGCTTTTGGTTCCAACATATTAGGCATAGATACTCCCCTGTCCATCCTTGCAAGTGCTGCATGGCCATCCTTAATGTGCTAAAGAATAGAACATACACACATGTAATATAGTGGAAGGGTATGTTAATGGTATGAATGTGTCCACTAATGAGTGCGGGCGCAGTGGTCACTGGATGGAGCTTGGATACAGTTCAGTTTTTTAAGAAGTATTTGAGATGGAGAATGTTTTTTGAATGTGTCTGTACTTTTTTAAATCATATATTTAAAATGTGACGTTTAGCTTGAGTCAAAACATTGGAAAACAACACACAAAACAAGACATGAGGCTATGATTGCACATTGCATTTACAGTACACTGGCTCAGCTACTGGGGCAGTGCATGTTTTAGCATTTGAAATCACTGCACTGCATGCCCTGTAGTTGACATTAACTCCAACAGTGATGCAAGCATGTAGCAGGAGTGGGCGGTGTGAATTCAGGGCAAGGGGCCTCTTGTAACCCATGAGCAAGCAAATATATGATGCAAGGTGAGGAAGCATGCCATGTGAAAAAGCAGATGAGAGACATACCTGAAACTCTGCAGGACAACATGGGACAGAAAATGAGACTCACAGTTAATGGTTTTGCTGTCAAATCCCCTGCCAGGCTACATTCTACAACACTGTTCTCCCTGATGACACATTGTGTGACTCATTATGCAAATATTTTTAAATGCATGTCCCATTTATGTACACGTAGCAAGCGATTTCTGAATATTGATGCTGAATAGCTCTGGTGACATTTGCAAGAGATTAGCTTGTTTGCCACCTTCTGGTAGCAGCTCTCACCTCTGCCTCCCCCACAAATGTCACTGTAGCTGTTGTACTGGGTGAAGTCTGTGGACTGGGGCTGCGGGAAAACAGACAACAGTACATCAAAATCAACATATGGGTATTTTGTTGCTTACTATGAACCAGAATAAGATTTAAGAAGTATTAGGGAAGAAATGCGTTTATAATTAGTGTTTCTGGCATTGGAGACAATATGCAATGGATTTAACATGCGACCTCTGCTTATAGGTGATACATTTTTTTCTGTTTGTCATTTTTCTGCATTTTACGGATGCCCTAAGGGGCAAAAATATATATGTGATCCATTTGCTAAGAGCGATCTAAATTGTTTTTCTATTCTGTGTTTATGACTAAGGAACAGGTGAAATAAAAGTTTTTACCACGATACTGTACTCTAAACACAATGGAACTTATCTTTTCCCCACAGATAAAAAAAAATCAACATTAGGACTCACGTGCCTCTTACAGCGTTAGTATTTAGCTGTTTCTGAAACATAACCAACAGCTATATTTGTAAGTGTGAGTGAACCCTTACCCGATGCAGCCCGTTCCTTCCATAACCAGGCAGAGAGTTAGTTTGGGTTGGAGAAGTTGGTTCTGAAACATAAATAACGTTCCAATTTATACAAAAGATGATGACTGAAAACAGGAGCATTTACATTAACACAAAATTAAAATCACAAAATGAAGCTATTCCATAACCTAGACATGTTACAGTAAAACAAATGCAAACATCTGAAAGTGTTATAGAACAGACCATGTTATTACAGTACATTGCTGACAACTCAGGCCCACATTAGCTGATGAGGATGCTCTACCTGCGTCACAGTCGGTCTGTTTGGGGTCGCAGCGCTGAGCAGAGAGGCTACGTGTGTGACGCTCCCTGATCTGATCTTTTTCCATCTCCTCCTTCAGAATGAGCTTTCCCAAACCAGACTGAATCTACACAAACACACATTTACACACATTTAATAAATGTACAGTACATTCAAGCATAAACATCAATCTATGAGATTTACAAGATCTACAGTATGGCAAATTGTTTGGATAATGTAGGTACCCAAGTAACTTTTTTTTTTCTCGGAAATGTTGAATAATATAGCCTTAAAGGGGACCTATCATGCAAAATGCACTTTTGTACGTCTGTTATACATGAATATGTGTCCCCGGTGTTCCAGGGAACTCACCAAGTGTCAGAAAACACAACCCTCTCTATTTTCCTCCATACCCAAATCTCTAAAAAAGGGGCTGCAACGGATCTGATAAAAACTGATCCAGATTTGAACACTGTCCTGACGTCAGGACAGTGGCGCTACGGCTATTGGGCCAACTCCACCAATCAGGAGGAGACAGCCACGGCCATTGCCGTTCGAAAGCGCTGGAGACGCTGTAGTACATATGCCAGGCCAGTAGGTGGTGCTGTTCTCACAGAATCAGCCCTTGCAAAAACAGAGCTAGAAATTGTCAAATTGAGCAAAATGAGGCATGGCTAAAATGCATGATCTGTTTGGTATTTTGAGAAAAAAAAAGTATAAATATGCCTTATTTAGGTATGGTCCTACACTATATTATTCAAATATAGCATGATAGGTCCACTTTAAGTTGAAGATTCAAGACAATCTCCCTGACCTTGCTGAGATGTTCCTCGTGGATCTGCTTTTTTTTCAAGGAGTCTTCCTCCTCCTCTTCTCTGGATCGTCTACCCCCTTCTGAACCTACAATGGTTGTTAACAGGCCAAAATATTTTATATTTAAAAACCATATATACATACTCACACATAGAAACACACTAGAGGAAACCATGCTTCACATGTACTTGTATATCAAGTACAACCAGATGAAATGCTTCATCCACAGGTCACATTTAGAGAAAGACACAACACTGAGTCTGCTTCACTCGGCTGTAGAGCAGTGAGGAACACACACAGTTTATGAGCAATAGGTGGACGGAAGAACACAAATGTGAGACAGAGTTGACGAGACAGACAAACAGAGGGACTTATTGGAATATTTGGCTCGACTGACATGCCGTGAGGTTTACACTTCATCATTCATGTCAAGATTTTGTAGACAGAACAGCACAATGTACAACAAACAGACAAGTTTGAAGTCAGTCTCAGTTATCTCTGTCCAAGTCATTTGTGGCACTACTGTGTAAAGCTAGTGCACCCATCATGTGCAGTAAGTGAACGAAAAATAGCGAAACTGATGCTACCTCAAGCAGAAAATAATATGGCAGCAACAGAAACCAAACAACGGGCAAATAAAGGCAAATACTGTAATGCCAGAATAAAAGCATTAGCTCTGATTGAAGCGGGGATGCAGTTAAGCTAGAGGGGCAGCTGTAAGGGTGAAACAACAAGAGTTAGGTTGTGGTGAGTTGTCTATTGCACCACTAGAAGATAGCAGTGCAAGCATGCCCATCAGAGCCTACTGTACCTAATACAGCAAGAGAGCAAGGCCAGCGGTCGCCCTCACTCCGCGAGCTGTCATCCGGAGATGGAGCATGGCAGCCGGGCAAGGTGGCCGATCTGATGATCTCATCAGCAGACTTGCTTTGACGTGCATCTGTATCTAGGTTGTAACCATAGGAACTGATCTATCAGTGTCTGAGTCAAAGTCTCACCCACAAATAAACATTTCAGCACCATCTGATCATCGATCGAGGTCTTACCGATCATGAATCTCGGTCGTCCAGGTGTAAATATATGCCAAAATGTTTTCCTAACAAGTCACTGAATATTGGATAATGCCTTTTACTAATCACAGATGGATAAGAGCCTTGTTTTTAAGGATGTTTCATGATTATTGTAGTGAAATGCTATGCTAACAGTAGCTGGCAAAATAAGGCTGACGGCCACAACAGCAAACTTGGGATTTAAAAAATAATAATAAAGTATTTTGTATTACAATGATGGCTGATGTCAGCTAAAATGGGCAAACTTCAGTTAGATGTACAGTAAGTGTTTCAATGTAACTGACAATATCAGTTTTTCGACTTTATGAACCGTCTCTACTTGTGCTATTGTTACATTACTTTATATCAGCCACGGATATACAGTAGAAGAGGTTGTGGTGTAATTCCTCTCACTCTTAGTCAGGTTGCAAATGACTCTTCATGAAATTGAAGAGTCATTATCCTGTAAATTGTCACAGCTCGGCAAAGGTTACATAATCTCGCTTTGAGAAAATTGCTACTGTGACTTGTTAAGAGACAAAGTGCAGTGTGTAAAACAAGCTACAGGTCAGACAGAAGAGGATTGGAGACAGACTTCAAACAGTGCTCATACACTGACACTGGGGATTACACAGTAAAATGAATACATAGTTTGACTTGATTAACAAAATTACTTTCTGTTAAGAGCCCAGCTCAATAACATTACACTACCGAGAAGTATTACTTTGAACTTGTACTCAGACATTTTTCACACAGGCTGTACAAGAGGAGGAAAGGTACCGTGTTGTTTGTAGATGGGGGGTTTTCTGTAGATGTTGCTCCCTTGATCTGAAAACATTCAGATACATACAGAAAAGTCATATCTCTGAGTAAACAGTGACTCTGTCACACATATTAAACATTTATTTTAAACACAAAGTGATGACGATGCATAGGGACTACACTCAATCACCGTTTTTCCTGCATAATGAAAGAGGGGGAAAAAGCAAAAGCTGATCCCAAATGGATTATAATGACAGATAGATAGATAGATAGATAGATAGATAGATAGATAGATAGATAGATAGATAGATAGATAGATAGATAGATCGATAGCTAGATAGATAGATAGAATGAATAGATAGATAGATAGATAGGTAGGTAGGTAGGTAGGTAGGTAGGTACGGTAGGAGAGAGATAGAGAGCAGAGAGGAGAGATAGATAGATGAAGAGAGAGAGAGAGAGAGAGAGAGTAGATAGAACGCTCGCTCGCTTCGCTCGCTCGCTCGCTCGCTCGCTCGCTCGCTCGCTCGCTGCTCGCTCGCTCCTCGCTCGCTCGCTCGCTCGCTCGCTCGCGCGCTCGCTCGCGCCGCTCGCTCGCGCGCGCGCATAGATAGCTAGATAGCTAGATAGATAGATAGATCGATAGATAGACAGACAGACAGACAGACAGACAGACAGACAGACAGACAGACAGACAGACAGACAGACAGACAGACAGAGACAGACAGACAGACAGACAGACAGACAGACAGACAGACAAACAGACAGACAGACAGACAGACAGACAGACAGACAGACAGACAGACAGATAGATAGATAGATAGATAGATAGATAGATAGAAAGTAGGGACGAGCAGTGACAGGGTGCGCTCCAGCTCCTACCTGGGAGGTGGAAATGTTTAGGGGTCAGAGAGAGAGGCGGGGTGACCGGCCGGCTGTCGGGCCTGAGCGGGAGGGGGGAGCTCCGGCCACTCGGGGGGTCAGTGCCTCCAGTGAGAAGAACCAAGAACAGAACATAAGCAGGGAAACTGAAGGGGAACCACAGTCTGAGCGGCGCAGCACACGGGACCAGAGGAGGTCATTTTGAGCGGGTGGGAGACATTCTGGTAGCTTTTGATAAATGCAGTTAATGGAGCTGTATGCTATGTGTATGAAGGAAAGCACAAAAGCGGAACAAACTATATAATAGCGAATTGGGATATGCACTGCAATGATTCATGAACTATAATGTATGTTAGTCTAAAATATAATGTGAATTCACGGTTTGATAAGAGTTCACAGTCAGGAAGTTAATGACTCCACACAGCGTGCAACGGCAAACTTATATTACAGAACCTTTTTCAATCTCAGTTTTACAGTTTACTGGGGTCTAGAGACTCATTCTGTCAAAAAAACCTGTCAGTTTGGATATTGGATTATGATTAGTGGTATCTCTCAAGTGCATGCAAAGCAAAACACAAGCCCAAAGAGCCTGTCAGCTACTTTGGCGGAGGCTGTGATAGTCAAAGGTGAAGAAGAAGGGCATGCGAGTTAGTGAATAATCAATTATTTGACCACATGACCATTCAGGAAGACAGATATATTTGAATGAGAAATGGTGATGGATCCAGAATGACAGATGGGGCAGTGACGGGGAGGTGGCGTCCCAGGTGGGGATGGAGGTGATGCGTTGCCTTAGGGGGGGCAGCGGAGAGGAGTGGAGTGGAGTGAGGCCCTTACCTTGGCTATGGGGAAGGAAGTGGTGTCTGAAAGGGGAGGTGGGGCGTGAGTCACTATTTCTGGAGCCCACACTGTTACTGCACAAGGAGGAGCAGAGCTTCTGCATGCCTGTCAGAGCCTCTGCAGGGATTGAGGGTGTGGGGCAAGGGACAAAAACCCCAGGAGCAAACCAGGCAGTGGACGGTGGGGGGGGAGATAGAAGGTGAGAAGGTGAGGAACAAAAGAAAAGGAAGATATACAGGAATCAAAAGTCAAAAAGAGGAAATAAAAGTCACCCAAAGTGAGAGATAGCGAGTATTCAAATAAAACAAATAATAAACATATAAAGAATTAAAGCTGCAAGCAGCGTTGAGCGGGTCTTCGACGCTCCGCAGGCTGTTGTCCGCACGTCGAGGTGTGTGTGTAGGTGTCTCGAGGACTCGGCCGTTGGCAAACGTGGGAAGTTTCAGGCCGATCGGACAACGTACATGGGAGTTACAGCAGTATCATAAACATTGTGTTTGATGGCGAGTGATCTGTCGCCATGGCAACGGAATTTGATGACACCCCATAATACGCTTAGATGTGTTGAGGGCTGCATCGTTATCAAACCTGTGAAGTTTTGGGCCGTTTGAAGCATGTTAACTGGAGTTATGAGAAAACCGTGTTTCACGGCGACCATTTTGTTACCATAGCAACGACATTTGACGAAATCTCAAAACTGACACATATATGTGTCGAGGGATTGACGGTCAGCACACATGTGAAATTTGAACACTTTTTACACCATTTACACAGGAGTTATAGCAATATGGTGGTTAACGGCGAGGGATGCGTTGCCATGGCAACAGCTTTTGAGGAAAACTCACTATTGTCATAATGAGGTGTTGAGGGCCGGACCATTAACTGTCATCTGAAGTCTGGTGCCGTTTGGACCATGTTCCATTGAGTTAAGACAACACCGTGTTTCATGGCGAGGGATCTGTCGCCATGGCAACGGCATTTGATGACATCCCATAATTGGCTTAGAGCTGTTGAGGGCCGGACCATTAGCCATCATCTGATGTCTGGTGCCGTTTGGAGGTTTTTCCATTGAGTTAGGACAACACCTTGTTTCATGGCGAGGGATGCATTGCCATGGCAACGGCATATGATGACACCCCATAATTGGCGTAGAGCTGTTGAGGGCCGGACCATTAGCCATCATCTGAAGTCTGGTGCAGTTTGGATTATTTTCCATTGATTTAAGACAACATTGTGTTTTATGGCGAGGGATGCGTTGCTATGGAAACGGCATACGGTCAGATCTCAGATTTCACGTAGAGCTGTTTAGGCATGGACCGGTGATATAAAAGTGAAGATTGGGGGACGATGGGACCGTGTCCATTGGAGTTACAGCGACACCGTGTTTTATGGCGAGGGATGCGTTGCCATGGAAACGGCATATGATGACATCCCATAATTGGCGTAGAGCTGTTGAGGGCCGGACCATTAGCCATCATCTGAAGTGTGGTGCAGTTTGGACCATTTTCCATTGACTTAAGACAACATTGTGTTTTATGGCGAGGGATGCGTTGCCATGGAATCGGCATACGGTGAGATCTCAGATTTCACGTAGAGCTGTTGAGGCATGGACCGGTGATATAAAAATGAAGATTGGGGGACGATGGGACCGTGTCCATTGGAGTTACAGCGACACCGTGTTTTATGGCGAGGGATGCGTTGCCATGGTAACGCCATATTAAGTAACATCAAATTTGACGTAGAGCTGTTCAGGGCCGCAGTGTTAACCATCATGTGAAGTTTGGTGGCGTTCTGAGTATGTCAGTTGGCGTTATGACATCATCGTGTTCCATGGCGAGGGATCGCCTAGCATTGAGCGAACGCGAACTTTGGCGCCAATTCACGGCTACGCCGTGCGAAAGAAAAAAACTTCTGTGATAACTTTGAATTGCCCATGTCTCGAGGGGCTACCAGACGAATTTCGAGTCGTACGGATAAAGTCCCTGGGAGAAGATAGATTTCGTGCGGAGGACGAAAAACGCGATAAATCGCGTTTTTCCGACGCCAAATTCAAAATGGCCGGCTTCCTGTACGTTATTGTATACCCCTCCAAGAGGCTTTTTGGTTTGTCTCCGCACCCTAGATATGCGTAGTGAGTTTCGTTCGTTTACGTGAAAGTTAAAGGGGGGGGAGTTTACGTTAAAAACGGAAGTGGGCGTGGCCTACGCAATTTTTGACGCAAAGTTCCGGAACCAATTACATATCTGAAGTTGCACCAATTCTGACGCGCGTGCAACATTTGGTGAGTTTTCACATATGTTGCAGGGGTCAAAGGTTTATCGGTCGCTGCGCGACCGATTTCAATAGGGTCTTCGCCGACCTAGGTCTCAGACCCTAATTACATTTAAAGAGACAGCTAAACCCAAAAGCCATAACACATATTTTTCCTCTTACCTATTGTGTTATTTATCAATCTTTATTGTTAATGTGTGAGGAGCCTATTGTTGGAGATATTAGACGTAGAGGTTCGTTTTGAATATGAAATAACTATATGGCAATTCGGTTTTTTGGTGCTCAAAGCACCAATAATGAATCAAGTCAAGAGCAGGCAGGCATCTCTACGACTTATATTGCCCTCAGAAACTTACACCAAAGCAATCTATATTGATAAATAGCACTACAGGTAAGATGGAAAATATGTATTTTTGGTATTGTGGGTAAATCAGAATATCAGAAAAAATTTACTCGAGGGGAAATTTACAAAACTGTCCCTTTAAAATCAATATTTTCAAAGGAAAGAATATTAAACTCAAATTGTGGTGTTAAAGGCGCAAAATTCACTTTAAGGTTATCATTCTGCAAACGAATGGATTGCCCATAATTTAAAGGTAAAAATAATTAACATAACCCAAAGGTAATTTTGTTGAAGTTCCCCTTAAAAGAAGAACATCAGAAGGAGTGAAGCAAGAACCTTAAGGTGGAGGGTCAGTGAACTCATCCACAATGTTTTAACAGAATAGTAATGAGCACGTCAATCCGCCTTACTATAACCTCTTTCTTTCATGAACAATGTAACAATACACATATGTGCCCACAGACGCACAAACACATACTCACCTGGCCTGTGAAAATGCTGAGGAGACCGTGACAGAGTGGGGGTGTAACCATGGCGATTATAAACTGGTGATCCTATGGAGCCCTGACTGGTTGACCTTTGGAGGATGCGTTCCCTCCTGTCGTAAGAGCCCTGACACACACACACACACACGCACACGCACACGCACACGCACACGCACACGCACACGCACACGCACACACACACACACACACACACACACACACACACACACACACACACACACACACACACACACACACACACACACACGCACACACACACACACACACAGGTTATTACACGACCTGCTGGTGTTAATAAAAATGTGTATATACTGCATTTACATCACACACAGGGGAGAATGAAAATAAAATGATATCCTCACCTCACCAGATGGGGTTGGTGACATGTTCCTTGAGGACTGGGAAGAATAAAACAGGTCTGAATTATAACTCTCTTAAAACAAGATCATTAATCTAGTTAATATAGCATTGCTCCATAGAGGCAAAAGAGCCCAGACAGCCAGATAAATATCACTTAACCACTTTTGAAAAACACCACTATGTGCTGATCTTTCACATTTTGCAAGCTGTGTAGCTACAATGCACATGGTCTCATTTTTATGTGATGCTCACCTCTGCTCTTTCCTTTAAGAACATTTATCATCATCAGCACAGGTTGACATATCTTACCTTGTCATCGGGCAAGGGGGAACGCTCCCTTCTGGCAGTGTGGAGCTGTGAGGGACACAGATGTTCAGTGATACATACAAGCTTTGAAAACAGCATAAAAAAGGCTTTCTTTGTGTATTGTAAAAGTCTTACCAGAAGAAAAACTAAGCCAACAACAAAACAGAGGATCATAAGAGGAACATTTGTCTTGATGCACAGTACTGCTTGTGCATTAAGACGCCATGCATGCAGGAAAAAGTGCATGCGGCCTGAGTGTTTACCTCTCCCACACTCTCTCGTCTCTCGTCTCTCTCATCCAGGGAGGTGGTGTACAAAGGTTCATACGTAATAAGATCAGGGCGCTCAATGTCATAAATGGCTTTGACTTTTGGAATGGCAGCTAGGTCTCGGTAATCAAGGATCTCATTGTCTACTTTTGCCTAGGGAGACAAATAAAACAAACATGCATACACACATAAGGGTAGAGGGAGATTACTACTATGGACATTTCTATAACTGACAAGGTCAAATAGGATGTTATTAAATAAGGAAATTTCTGACGAGTAAAACAGTTGTTACATCTATTTGGATGTAGGTCTATAATATTTCTTACATAGATCGTGTGACCCGGTGAGCCAGGTATGCTTGAACCAGGTCTGGAACAAATACTCTCCGATGACGACCTCGTAGGCTGTGAGAAGTAGAGAAAAACACACAAGTGGCGGTTATTCGCAATAAGTCTGTTAGGAATTCAGTCTCCCATGATCCACAGCCCCCTGCCATCTGCACACCCTGATTATTACCCAAAACATTTCAACATTTCACTGTTGGGCTTTTATATTGTATGAGCGATGAGAGGGAATTGCAAACCCTGTATTTAAGTTTCATTAATAACATGAGGTACTTGGAAATACTAACATGTCATTTCATGATTAGGTCATTCATTTGCAAATTTGCAAAGTGAATGGGCGCTTTTATGCACAGTGATTGTATGTCCTTGAAAACGTCATGCCAGTTTATTTGAAATGAACAGTTTGAATGGCATCAGCGGGACTGAATGAAGCGTAATTAAAGGGATAGCTCAGTAAATTGTGTTGTTTAAGGTACTTATCCACAGTCAGTGTATTACCTGAAGGACATGGCGGTTGGCAGGCGCCCAGTTTTGAAGGAGAAAGTAGTACTGACACAGTTATTAGCAATATAATGCTGTGGATGGTGAAACTGCAGCTGTCATTTATGCTCTTGCCAAAGCCATTAGATTACATTGACAAAAACTGTCATTTTACAACACTAAACACGGAAGTGAACTTACTCAATTCAAAATACTACACAAATTACACCAACCATTTGAGGCAGCAGTGGTCCAGAAACCTCTGTAATCTGTGTAGTAGAATTATTGTTTTTGTCAATGGAGAGCACAAATGGATGTAATAAATACTGTTACCTGCCAGAAAGGACTGTCTGTCAGCAGGGTAAAGCAGTGAAAATATAATCAATAATATTGATGGGATTTTTCTGGCCTTTTTTTAGGTTTCTAAATTAAGTGTTGCCAGTGGTCATGTGTGTTTCACACCTTCATACACTGACTATGGACCACATACACCTCAAAAAATAAACTATCCCTTTAAATTAGCTTTTCACCTCACAGGTAGAATGGGGATTTGGAAGTCATATTGATATTGTGTCTGCGCTTTCAAATTTGTGCATCATTTTGTTTAATGCACTTTGATATGAGCTTAGAATAAGGCGTTGAAAGACAAGACTGAATGGCTTCATATGACACAGAGAGGGCACTGCAGGCTGTCTCCAGCAGATGGCAGCATACAGTGCAGCACAGTGTCCTATGCACATGGTGGAACACAGGATGATGCCATCTCATAGCCAATAGCGAATACAGTACCTGCCTTTCTGTTTTTTGGAGGAATAAGAGGGACGGAGGCAATAGCTGTGGAGGAAGGGAGAGGGGGGTTCACAGGACATCACACAGGGGTTCTGCCTCTCCAGCCCGACTCACAATTCACACGCACATCAAGCTTGACATGTAAATATTATGCACATGAACAACACACACACACGCACACGCACACACACACACACACACACACACACACACACACACACACACACACACCGCCTCAATAGGCAAATGATGTGAACCACAGCAGGTTTATGTTTGATAGTTTACTGTTGGAGCTGGAACAGCTAATGCGGAATCCCTCGTTACATATTCCACATTTTTTATCTTTTCCTGAAAAACATGTGTCAGGAGACACGAATAGAAAGGTCCTCTCAGTCAGGACAAAGTCAGGAACAATGGAGTCAGTGAGGCCCAAATTCCTACCCGCTCTCTGTGTCGCTCCTCTGTTCGGGTGGTGTTCTTGCAGCCAGGATGCCACACCGTTGATCCTGAGGAGATGGAAAGCGAGAAAATATAATCAGGGCAACATATGGTTACAGTATATTCACATTATTAGTATGCATTTCCATACTCTGCCAACTATACAGATGGGCAACAAATGAGTTGTTACATGGGTTATTGACAGTCCTATAAAAGGCTGTCTAATACACACCTGGTACACAGCACATTGAAAAGTATTATGCAAAGATGGTCTGTATTGTAATTTGCAACATGGATCAAGTCATCAAATATTAAACATCATTATTTTCACACTAGAGCTGCAATGGCGTCAAATCAAAATTACCCGAATGAATTACACCATCATTAATAATGACTTGTTTTTCCTTTCTTTTTTATTAAATGTTTAAACAAAATGGATGGTAAAAATAAAAGATGTTTGTGGTTTGAGTAAATGAATAATCCTTTTGATGAATTGTGTTCATCTCTTGAGTAGTTTCTGATCAATACACAGTTTCAGCAGTACAGCATATCAACACACACATAATATTTATAGATACTTTCCCTTCATTTGTCACAAATCTATATACTGTCAATATATGAATAGGCTCCTTTTACTAATAACAGTAAAACAAGATAGGAGCAAGCAGTTCTGCAGTTTTTGTTTAACGGTTAACAAAAGTTTTCCGGTGGCTGTGACAAAGCACGTATTCCTGCTCACCTTGCAGATACATCTCTTCTCCTTCTGTGAACATCTGATTGCACCTGCTGCATCGCGCACAGCTGGGGTGGTAGTGCTTATCTCCGGCCTGGAAAACACAGAGCGCACAAAACAGACTTGACATCACAGGAAAATTAAGATCAATGAAGCCCACAGTAAAATGAGCGAAGCGGAGCTGCGTCTAAAAGGATAACAACCCAGTGCTTTACCTGCTCTTAGCTACACCTCTCTTTCACCTCTGAGACCTAATGGGGTGGTTTCATCAGATCCTGGGTAACTGCTCTCACTTCCTTCAAAAACAACTGCTGATGAGATAGTTGAACTGGGCAGTTGTTGGAGAATATGTTCCCCTCTTATTGGTCTGCAGGTTTAATGTAAATATTTTTTCTCCAACAGTTCATGTGAGAAGTAAGAAGTACTCAAATCCTTTATTTAGGTTAAGTAAGAAGACAGTAAAATACTGCGTTACAAGTTAAACTCCTGCATTGAAAATTCTGCTAAAGTATTAACAGCAGAAACAAATTCAGAAATATACAAAATAGCCTCTTTTAGAGTATTAAATTATGGAGAATTCAAAGTCCCAAAAGAATAAATATGTTTGTATCTGATGCACAAGAGATAATATGTTACTATCATGCGCTAACACGTGTTTCGGGGGGAGCTAAAGGGGCTCTCCCAGGAATGTGGACCTTTAACTATAACAATTGTGTAGGATGATCAAAGTAACAAGTAACTTACTGTAAAAAGTCAATTAAAAGTATAATTTCTTCTTCTTAAAATGCAGTGAATTAAATACTCAAGTAATGTACAAGTTCCTCAAAATTGTACGAAAATGTAATAATGTTAAGTTATCTTTGAATATGACCACCAGGACATCTGTCTGTTTGACACAGCCAACCTGCCTACAATATGAGAATGTTCCTCTTTGTGATAACCTGCATAATACGATCCAATAAAACGACTTGACGGCTGGAGCGTCTGAATTTCCTCTGCATTGAAGTGGCACTTTGCATGCAGAGAGCACCCTTATAACACCAATGTGATACTTTGACCAGGGGGTGATAAAATACCCAAATGAAAGTTTCCCCGCTGTATAACAACCCTCTCTCAGTAACATTTCAGGCAGGAAGTGGCCACTCAGAGATATGGAGCCTCGTATTTGCATTTTAACATTTGACAAAGCGGCTATAGCGAGCACTTCAAAGCTCTTTCCCAATACTCTCTTCACATACATTGTGAAACAGAATATCTCTCTCAGGGGTAATAAAAGTACTTATGCTATATGTGTAGTGTGCAATTACAATACTTTCCGTATTCCTCTCAGCTTTTAATATCTGGATTAATTACCCCCTGCATTAATAAGCCATCCACATTACCCTCCCAGAGGACTCCACCGATGGCTCAGCGCTATTTGACCCTGGTCTTGGGTCAGCGATTAGACTATCAGACAGACTGCTGTGGCTGTGGCACCACTGATCCATTGGCAGAAGCTCAGTGGTGAGATGCCTAGGCCTTTTCCTATTGTCACAAAGTTCTGCCCTGGCGCTGGATTACTAAAAGCCTTGCTGTGACATTTTGGTACCATTTAATGACACATAACTCAGTGTCTGCAGAACAGACATACCTCTTGTTCAAGAGACCCGTGACCAGAGTTGTTGGTAACACTTTATACAATCTCTTAAATAAAAAGAGTTTCATAACAGCCGCGTGACATGAAGTATTAATGAGCAGTGATAACTTCTGAAATGTCACATCACATTAGGTGTTTTATTAAATATGTATATATCATTTGTGGCAAAGCAAGCTTGTATGTGCAAGCATTTGTATTGAGGAAGAGCTAGAAAGATGTAAATATCTCCTAAGAATTCATCTTTTAGTTGCAAACCATCATGTCAAGAGTCTATTTGGCTCTGTGGCCAAGGGATTACACTGCAGCTTATCAAACTACATTTCATAATTCCACTCTGAGGCATCATCCTGTCTGTGTGGGAAGCAGAATTTAGATTTTACAACATACTCCTAAACTGTTTCAACTATGAACCTATATCCACTCAATAAAATATTCATTTAAAACCTGAAATGTATTTCCTAAATGTATCTGGTGTAATTGTAATGCCTACAAATTCTAGAAGCATTCAGCTCTAAAACAATTAATGAGACCACTCCAATTGTATTTAAATCTCTACATGTATAGCAGCCATTCCATTCCAGTGTCTGTTGAATTCCAACACCACAATAGAATACAATATATATTAACACATACCTTTAAATAGTAAAACCAGAGAAACTGATAATGCTGCAGTGGTCTTTTTTTTCAGAGCTGTATGTTCCTGTAACATACCTTAGGCAGGATTCATATGAAATCCAGGTGCAATATTAAGTCCATTTGTCCGGCCTAAGCAACCATCAGAGGGATGTTGAAGTTGAAGAATGTGATTGTGTGTGTGTCTCACCTCTAGCACCTTCCCCGTGATGAACTGATGACACGCCTCACACTGAACTCCAAAGTGGATCTGGTAGTCCTTCTCACAGTAGGGGGCGCCATCCCTGAGAGGAGACAGACAAATAGAAACAGCAGGGACTTAGATCCTAGGAAATTTCATATTCTGTGTGAGCATATGGTGTAAACATTACTAAGGCCTGTAATTAAGGTGAGTGTGAGCCGCTTACTTGCTGATGTACTCCCCGGTCAGCACTTTGTTGCAGGCCTTACACTTAAAGCAGCCCAGATGCCATTGTTTGTCCAATGCTAGAAGAGCCTGTCCGTTCTTAATGTCTCGACCACATCCTGCGCAATCTGCGGAAAACAGCAAAAGTTGCTCAAAAAGATGAAGTGTTCTTAAGTTAACAACTACAAGAAAATACAATTAGGATTAGGAAATGCCTAAAGAACAAAATACATGCTCATTTGAAGATGTTTCTTGTGAAAATAACAGTATTACACAACAAATGTTTATAATAGCATGGAGTGAGACGTCTTGTCAGTTCTGACCCAAGACACTAGATGGTGACAGAGTGTTACCACCAACGTTCTGACAGCTGCCTCTTTCTATCATCCACTGCTCTCCCACCATGGCTCTAAAAGCTCACTCCATATCCAAGTGGGATCCCGAGGCTTTAAATGTGCAAGGGCTTGGTTTCTAAACCTACAATCTTCCTGTCATCTCTTCTTTAATGAATAGAGGATGAAAGCAACACAGAGCCCACTGCAACCACAGGGGACGATAACTACGTAAGGCATAACGAGGCTGCGATGGCGACGTGAGGAGAATCAGCATGCCTTATTCATAGGTGACCTTGTCTAAAAGCTCTTCAAACGCCAACAGAGATACCAGTGGGGGGAAAGAGAGTGATAGAGAAAGAACAGGAAGAGGAAGAGTGGAAAAAGAAAGAAAGAAAGTGATCAGAGGAGGGGTTTGAGGGCTGCACGTTCGCTGTGCCAGAGGACAGGAAATGCATGGACATGCATTATTTAGACAACTTAGTCATAAAGGAACATGGCTGGTCTAAGACAAGGCTGCGAAAAGGAGAGAATGAATGATACCTCAACATTATTCAGTCCTTAGGCATAACTGGGTAGTGTGAGAGCTACTTACAAGGTTTTTTCTCTACAGTTAAGTGGAATTGTTGACCAACTGGGATACACAAATTACCTCTTAACATTAACCTTGTTTTCTCTTAAAGGAATTGTTTGACGTTTGGGAAATTCCTTATCTTACTGAGAGTTAAAAGGAGAAGGACAATGTTATGTCTGTCCATTTAATATAAAGGTACAACCAGCAGTCACTTAGCTTGTATTAATACAAGCTATGTGACAAGCTATACCAGCACCTTAAAGACCAACTGATTGAAATGTTGTATTTAATACGTTTGCTAAGCTAAGCTAACTGGTGCTGGCTTGAGATATTTGCTTTATCTGGGCAGAACACTCAGAAAGAAAGCAATAGTCTATTGAAAGCTAGAAGATTTCCCAAAAACCTCTTATTTTAAGTATCTTAAAGCTTGGAAAACTCATCACTGAGTGACATTTTCAATTACAAATATTATTTTATCTGCACTATTTTATTAAATGAAAATATTCTAGATGGGCCTCATTGTAAACACATTCTGCCCTACATTTTAAGATCTTTGAATCGGCGAAATGCAATTGATTTAGTTTTTATTTGTGTATAGGCCTATGCTTATTTAAATTAATTCCAAACTGAATTGTAGATTACATTGCAACTTTGGACATGGAAAGGCCGATACTAAATGCATTTTCCTTTGAAAATAGAGTAAAAAAAACGAACATACTGTCCTCCCCTAGTATTCAAAGTCATGTTTTTTTAGGTTTGAATGTTTGGATGCACAGCACTTGGTAATGACTGTGTTAATGAATCCAGATTTATGGCAGTTTTAATTAAATTGTTGGCAAGCTTGCCTGATTTAAACCTGAATACTATTCTTCACAGCGCAAATATCACAGTTGAAGTGACTGGGCAACAGCTACATTAAATACCATGCATGAAAATATGTGTGGAAGACCAAATACCTGTACCCTCATGTGAAAGCAAATGCCTTTCTGTGCATTAAACCTGTGTGCATCTTTCATTAGACAATGGTGACTTACTGCTGGAGCCGAGGATGTCCTTTGGTCCCGGAGACATTGGCTCCACACAGTACTGACACAAGCAGTCCTTCCCGTTGAAGGTCACCCTGTCGCCGGCGGGGAACGGTCGTCTGGAAGAGGGGTGACATTAACAATTGGTAAACAAGACAGGAGCTGTGCCCCCGTGCTAAGTGTAAGAGTTTATGAGCTGTGGCTTGTAGTTGACAGGAAGACATGATGTGGATGTGTGTCAACACTCAGCGCCTAAGGAGGATATTTAATCTAATCTGATTACACACACGTGACACACAGCATGGTGCATTGTCTCAGGGAATTCTCTCTGTCACTTCACATGATGATGAGCAGAATTTCATTTTATTATGTTGGAAAGCTACACATAATTGCAACACTGTAAGATCTAGATAACTTCACAAAGTAGCATGTGTGGGGATTTTGGTTAGCATTGATAGACATATTGGAAAACAATGAACCTGAACAACAAAGATATGTTTTTTAGTGCTAAATCAATCCGAAAAAACGGACATACTTTCAAGCCCTTTACCTTTCTGACATACCTGTCAAAGGCACAATGAATAGGATTATACATTAAAAAAACAATGGATAGTCTATACAAAATAATCAAAAGAGTTCATTCTCTGGGTTGATCAGTGGTTTATCATCTTTATCGTCTTACTTGCAGATGGTGCAGACAAAGCAGGCAGGGTGGTAGGTCTTGCCCAGGGCAGTGACCACTTCCCCCTCCACAAAGTCCCCACAGCCATTGCAGCGGGTGCCGTGCATGCGTTGGTAGTCCAGCGTGCACAGATAGTCTCCATTCTTCATGAAGAACCCCCCCTGGGCGAGGTCACAGCCACACACTGTACGGGACACACATTAGCGCTGTGTGAGTCAGATCATTAAATGCTATGCCTATACAGGATAACAGAAACAGCATCCAACCACCAAGCCACCCAACTCTTCCTCACATTAATGGCTTTGTTCATACTTGCTAGTCTTCAAGGGTCACTGAATGCCTAAAATCAATGCTGAGAAATATGTTTTAACAGCTGTGTGCATTACAATGTGTAGTAAAACGTGAAACTCCTTTCATCAGTGCTCACAGTCTCAATAAGAGAGACCCTGAACCTCTCTCTTTGAAGGAACTCTGCATGGAGGGCTTGTGTCAATTAATCATCAGCACTACTACTGCAAGGTCTTTTCATTGTCAAAGTTCTCAATGGAATAACAATGACATAATAGTAAAGACCAAGAAATGGCTTTGATCTGATTCTGAAGATAACTGGCTCTAAATACTACCTACTTGATAGTCTGTCTCTAACAAGCTTCCTTCTATTAAAATCTAACCTTGTCATCTACAAACATGAAAGACTGTCAAAGGCAGAATTACTCATTTGGGAACAGTTTTTAATAATTGTAAGGTTGGTGTGATGCTGTTATCAAGTATTACTGCTAACCATATTTAAAGTTTACTATATATATGTGTATATATATGGCAGTGCTAGCATGCTGATGTTTAGCACATACGTCTAAGAACTACTATGAGTGTGGCACTTCCTGTTTACAGGCTGCGTCTGTGGTGTGATGAGGTTGATCGAATATTGCAAAAGCAAAGCAATGTGGTTCCTTGACAAAAAAAGAAACATTTTCAGAGTTATTTTCTTGTTAATTAATGACTTGAATGTAAGAGAATTTCGGAGTGCTTTCTCGTAACTTTTCCCTATGGATTTTTCTCGAAATATCAACCCCCTACCCAGGCTCCTTGTCCCTACAATTGCCCTGATATGCTGTATTATAAAGTGTTGGACTAATACTAATTGAACAATAGTGATATTGCAATTGATCCATTTTACAGTGGTTAGACATTCAACCCAACATGGTGGTGCCGAAAGAAAAGTCATTAGGATTGTTCTTCTGGAAACAATAAATCTTAACAAAAATGTAGAGCCAATCCATTATATATTGTTGATCTGATTCGGACCAACAGACAGACCCAACATTGAAAAAAACATGTTCTCCCATGGTTCAACATATTTTGTAGTGCTGATGTCATGTAGCCTAAGGTGTCTAATTTATGGCTTAAAATATGGCATATTTTTTACGTGAAATTCCCATGATTTTCCCATTTCATATGACTCACTGTCTCCATATGTTGTGTTAACTCCAGATACAGTTTGATCACGATCCAGATGTTAGGCGTGTCTGCAGTATTTCAACCACATAACGATCACATGTGCCATGTAGTCCATTATTCCAGAACCGCAGAGTAAGGCTGGGATCGTAGTAGCCTTTTGAAAAGGGCCACGGCTAAAAGGGAAAATATTTTGATGCCTGAGACCAGGGCACCTAATCATTCTTATGCAATGAGCCAGGCTAAATCCTGGGGATGAATGGGTGCGGGTGAGGAAGAGAATCAGATTTAATTGCATTACAGCTCAGGGCTGATGAGATTAGCTTGTAAGCTATCTGAGTCAAAAGAAAACCAGCAATGGGGATTTGGTGGCCTTTCATTGTGAAGTCTGACCTTAGCTTTTCAACAGATGCATGCCATTAAATCAAATGCCTCTTTGCAATTTATCCAATTAAATTGACGGGAATTCAGGGAAATTGAAAGGTTTTTCTCTGATGCATTTCGGTTTAGGGTTTGTTGGCCAAGGAGGTAATATAAATGTCAAAAGTGAGCTCCAGGGATGACATCTTTTTTAATTCCAACACAGGAAGTTAAGTTTTATCGTACTGGTTTCCTTAGAAGAAGAAATCATTAGATTTCAGATTATTTGGCAAATAAGCGCTGTGGCAAAAAATATATACTTTCTAGTTACACCTTTGTTAAGTAGTCTATCTCCTCATATTAACACAATTGTATAACTTTTGAAGCATTAATGAAATGGCAAAAAGTAAAGAGTAAATTCACGGCTTTAAAAAAACTTAAACACATTCCAAGGCTGACAACTAAGCTACATATAGACTAGTGTTTGGCGTGATGAAGAACTGCTGTTTTTGAGCCACATATAAGCTTCTGAAATGAAGAAGTGTGGTATTTAATGATGTATTTCATGCCTTAGTCTTGTCTTAGTCATGTCTTTTTTTTTTTACTTTTTAACTTTAAACATGATTTTAAGCTTCTTACCAAAAACCAATTCATAAAAATACATTGACTTTAAAACAAGGAAGCGGAAATGCTAAAATGTTAACTAATTTCAGTGTTTATACTCATTCCTTCAGCTCCTAATAAGCTTACCTGACTTGACCACAACTAACAATTACGGTAATTAGTCTTACAAGTTGGAGAATCACATCAGCACATACAGTATACATTTAGAACAAGGATTAGCATGGCGTGTCTGGAAGCAGTTCTTGTGTATTATTTGCAACCACTGACTTGTGTGCACGAACACACACATACACTCCACACCACCTAGGCATGTATATCCACTTGTAAAGGACAGATATAGGTCTTAATCTTAGCGTTTGCTTGTGTGATCCTGTGGCCTTGGTGACCTAATCTACCTCTATAACAGTGCTCCTGTCACAGATCCAAAAGGTCTTCAGCAGAGAAGCTTCAGCCTACAAGGCTGAGGCTGCTTGATGGTTTCATCGTAATCAGAGATCCATCAGTAAGTGGGATAAACGAAGGATTTGCACTGTCACTAGTCAGAACAGTCTCGATGATACTTTAATTAAAGTATGAGTGTCTGAGAAGTGGAGATGAGTCATACCACCGTGTACCGTACCCCCTTCGTTAGAGGAAGATGGGAAGGACAGTGTAGCCTTTAGGGACAGCTCCTATCCAACTTGGTGTGATGTGGATGCTTTTTGGACAGTTGGGAAAAAAAACTATTTCCGTTGCGCTTTGGTATTTTGTTTTGAAAAAACTGAAACGTTGACTTATGTCAACAAACTGTGTTAGGTTGGTTGAAAGCAATACTATTAAGTTGGTCTTAATATTTAAAACGTATTATTATCACATTCAACTAACCTAATACAGTTATGTGAAATCTGTTGACATAATACATTTCATTTAAGTCAATGTTTGAGTTTTTTCAGTATTAGGAACCATTACACATTATGACTCTTCTATACCTTTTGCAAATGGGAGCATCAGATTTAGCAAAAATTAACTATATTTACTAGCTGCATGTAGTGAATGGAAAGAGGCAAATGTCCTCCTACTTTAACAGTATGAAACTAGCTGAATAATAAAACTTCACACCTTAGCTGCCAATTTTCCCACAACCCCCACCTAATTATTTCCAGTTTAGGACAGAAATAAGCTGTCTGATGACTCCTTTAAAAAAGAAAATCACACTTAGTTACTAAAAAACAGTCTTTTTGATTTTAACATCAGGGTTGTCTCACATTAAGTAAAGCTGAGCCAAATCAAAACCAGTAAATACTTCCCATTCAACACTGTTTAAAGACATGAAATGGCCGTACCTTTACAGGTGAAGCACTTTAGGTGGAAGTGCTTGTTCTGCACCCGCAGCACCTCGCCCTTACATGGCTCCCCGCACTTGTAGCACTGAATCAGGGGCTTCTCTGAGGAGTGGTGGTGTGTCTCCTGCGCACGAGCCACTGCAAAAGAGGAGACAAAACCATTACTATCGAAATGTGATGTTGATGAGTCATCATGGTCGCTCTGTGCAGTTTTTGTAACATTGCTTCCAGTTTTTTTTTTTTAAACAGTTGTGTTCATGTGAGGACACGCGGTGAATCTGCAGCATCACACAGACCCCAGAGATGAAGACCTACTGCTGAGAGCCTGTCAGGGTAAAAAAAGAACAACATTGAGCAGGACAGCACAACTTGGGGTTCTCTGCCCAGACAGGCTCTCTAGAGATCAACAACCTAAATATAGTCTGTCTTGATAAGTGGAGGATGGAGAAGCAAAATGCTGAGGGGAGCAGGGCTTGGTAAATGGCACACTAAAAGGGTATTGATAAAATCAGTTTCACTATTGAGTTTTCTTTCATTTTATCCTCAAAGGAAAAAATCAAAGGCCATTTACTGTCTTTGCCTATGCTGCCAGTAATCATTTTGCAGGGCATGCTATATATGGCTTCTTATGCCATGTTTAGAAGGTAACTTTTTGTGTCAAACACTTCTGTCCTATTCTTCTATGCTGATGTTTGACAGTAAGCAGAGCATGGCACTCAGATGAGATAACAATAAAACAGAGCAGGCCAAATGTTTGCTGTGTTTGAATAGCTCGCTCTGTGGAAGTTGCAAATCAGCAAATGAAATAAATTGTTCTAAAAAGACTTCCCGTAAAGGCCGTTATATTTCCCAGCTACACAGCCTGTGTGCAGATACAAGAAAAGCAAGAATAAGACCTATAATGGCACTCGAGACTGCGGACCTCTGCCAAGGCCATTTCAATAAGTGAACAAGTATGGGTGTATCCGCCTTTTGATTCGGATCTGCTTCAAAATGTAATAGGTTCTCCCTTGGCCAATGCCTTTCACCTGGCCATTAGTTTTTGTGTAATCCTACTGACAATCAGACAAACACACCAACAAGCAAAAAAACTAACAATTTCAAAAAGTTAGATTTTCTAGTAGCAACTTACACATATGCACAATAAAAGGGTTACAGCCACGCTAGGAGCTTTGAGAGGATGTTCTTAGGCACAGCTGTGCTTTGAGCTAAAAGCTAACGTCAGCATGCTAACAGGCTCAAAAGGAAAATGCTATCACATTGAAGTTGAGCAGGTGTAATGTTACTATGTAAGCAAATTTAGTTTTGTTTGTTAGCCTGCTGATGTTAGAAAACTGCCATTAAACACAGGTAATGGCAGAAATATAAATAGTTTGTTGTAAAAAAAAAACAATCAAGTTATGTTGACCTAATAGCATTGGTTAACCGTGAGGATGAATGGAGTATTTAGACCACATTTCATGGCATACAATCCAATAGTTGTAAAGACTGGGACCAGGAACCATGAATGTTCTGTGCCAATCCATCAAGTATATGTTGAGATATTGTACTTGATAGATGGAAATGTTTACCTATTGGTGGCGCTAGAAGAAAAGTCGGAGGATCCCTGGTTTAAGTAGTGGACCAACAGAACAACATCTCTGCCACACTGGTGCCGCCGACATGGCTACGAATAGTATTAAATAAAGATTTAGACATCACTTTCTTTTTGTGTCAATCGGGACAGCCTTGATAATGATAAAAGACAGAAACTCCATTATCAACTTGCTTTATCTCTGAAACAGCATCAAGTGCAGTGGCGAGCCGTCAGGGCCCTCTAGGCCCTCTCTGAGGGCCTAAGATATTCAACAAAATAATATTAAAAAATATTTTTTTCCTTTTAAAATATAGTTTTAGTTATAAGGTCCAATGGAGGTCCCCCGGAAAGGGAGGGACTTCGCCTCTCAATAGAGTGGCGAAGTTCCTCCCCTTCCGGTGGATAGATAGATTCTATCTATATGGCGCTGATTTTAGCTATCTCTTAGTGGAGGAAAACAATTGTGACATCACTTACGCGACTCTGGGATTTGTAGTCTTTCTAGTTACGTATTTTTCATATATCTTATCTTATATTTCAACAGTTTTACAACAAACTGTGACTTTTTTGACATGGAAATGATTTTTTAAGATTGACAAACATCATATGTGTAATTCATGGCACAATTCAAACGGGATCGAAAGATAAGTTTTCTCTCTCCATTGACTTCAATACATTATTTTTCCGAAATAAGGTCCCATGGGGCGGAAGTAGATGGGCGTGACTTCGCCACTCTATAGTAACTGAACGAGAGAGTAATGTCAACTGACAGTACAATTGACCAATCATATCTTCCCTCTAAATGGGTGGGTTTTATTTTCGCGGACTTTATGACAAGTTCCGCCCGCTGTGAAGCTTTTCTTGTTTCCATAGCAACAACAACTTCCTGTCAACAGCGTAAACTCGCCTTCAAAATAAAAGCATGCCAAATTACACTTAAGATATACAACAAACACAATGCAATATCCTTTTCAATTTCAAAGAACACAAATTGGGTTATTTAAAGGTGTTGTTTTGTGTGGTAGAGGGTTGCTGTCATTGATGCGTTTTGCACCCCGGGCCGTTGTTTTGATATTCCGCTGAAGTATACGCTGTGACGTAATAACTTTTTTTTTTTTTTTTTTTTCAAGGGAAGGGGTGGGGGTCAGTGGGGGCCTAGGTATAAAAGTCACGGCTCGCCACTGATCAACTGTTATCCTTGGATCAGTGCAGAGCCGGCCCGACCCATTAAGCGACATAAGCGGCCGCTTAGGGCCCCGCAGCCACTAAGGGCCCCCTAGCAAAAAATCTTTAAAAATCAAATAAAAATAAATCAAATAAAAAAAATAATCTCAGTACACCGTCGCCGTGATAAGTATGTTTAATTAATTTTGTTAATATGCCCAGATTGCCTACTCTCAAAGTCATGTATTATATTATTGAGTTTATAATATAATACATTAACCGTGCTTTACCTGAACCTCATCATGACACTAGAGAGGACGGCAGCATTGTAATTTCCCGTGTTCAGTGAATGCAACAGAGGCAAGACACCAGACCAACCAGAGAGTTGAATGGAAATAAACATCTGTCTTATTGGCTGACAGGTACCTATCCTGTGAGCTGGGACAATGTTTAAAATAAACTGTCAGTCGGACTCAGAGTTTTTGAATATGGACATAAGAACATTTTTTCTTAAAAAAGACGACAATTCTCAAGTGGTGGCTCACACAACAACCCCAGAGCCACCACTTGAGCCAGGTAAACAAGGTATGTAAATGTCAGTAAACTTCCAAGTTATGCGAACATGTAAGCAAAGCATAAATTACAGCTACGTTGACGTTACTTTGAATCGCGGGGGTAAGCTAAACCGTTAGCAAGTAGCTATAGCTAGCCAGATATATTAAATAAACACTTTGTCATACAATCTAAATGTAATGTTTTTTAGCGTTACCTGGTGACTTCAAAGAAAGCTCTCTGGGAAATGTTGACTTACTTTTCGACAGGAAGCTAGAAGCTACCTTACAGTACACAGTTGATCCTGAGTCCTGTCAGTTAAAGTGTTTCATAGTTAGCTTAGCTAAGCATCAACCATGCTTTTAACTTCAATATTTAAAAAAAAATCTTCCCGGGGGAGCATGCCGCCTGACCCCCCTAGAGGAGGTTAGGTCCACTGTGTTTAGATGCTTATTTATACAATATGTGTGCTGTATTATTGTGTTGCATTGTTGGAGAAGCCTGTGACCTAAGATTTTCAATGACATAATTACTCTGTAGCTATGTTAGTTTGACAATAAAGAACCTTGAACCTTGAACCTTATGCTAACATAATAAGACAAAAGTTGGTTCCGTGTTGTGTGTAGTGAGAACGCGCTAGAGTGAGGGGGGCCCCCAAGCCAAATATCGCTTAGGGCCCCCAAAAGTCTAGGGCCGGCCCTGGATCAGTGGCTTGTGGCCTTCTCCAGTAGAAACTTTGGGTCCCTGACACAGACAGACATTAATTCAGCCGTACTGTACGGGATGTAAATACTGCTGCAGTGCCGCACTGCACACAGTTTATCGGCTGTTCTGAAACCAGCAGATTATTTCACATTCAGGAGCATTAACTAGCAAGGCAGCCCCTTTCGCTCTCATTTCCTCTGTCTCTCTCTTTTTCAAACAAAAATACACACCCACATAAACACACACACACATATTTAATAAAGAATCCACATGAAAAGATCTTGCTCTTCTGCTCTGCAATAAATCATTAGTCTGCAAGGCTAAAAAAAGACACCACCAAAGGCACAGAAATAGCATCATGCTCAATCGATGATCGACCAACGAGAGACACTATTCTGGATTATTAATGACTTGGCCTACCTTGCATCCTTCGTACCAACCTCTATATTTGCAGAGGCTCTCTGATATAAGGGGGTGGTTTATTTCCAGGAAATGAGTCCTCAGAACATTGTATTTTCGTTTTGGTTTGTTAGCATGTTTGTCAGGTTGTCAAAACAATTACTGAAAAACTAGAGACCCTATTGTAAAATGGGCCCAATAATCCTAATTTTCAGGCTCATAATTGTATGTTGTGCCTCTACTGTGACATGTTTACTTGCTTTATTGTTCAAAATGCTCTTTATTTTAGAGCCCAGTCTGCTCTGATTTGTTAGCTGACCGGCCTTGTTGTGATTGGTCAACCGCTTAGAGATGTCCTGCCCCTTAGCCTATCATGTACATGTGTTAGAGCACTAGTCAATAGAATCGTAAGAGTTACGTAGTGATGTCACAATGTCGCGGGAGTGTGTGGGAGAGAAACTCCTTCTGGCTTGATTCTAGCCTTTGCGGACCATTTACATGCACACAAACCAATAGATCACACTACAGGGTAGGGAGAACACTAAAAAGCATTATAGGGTGCCTTTAATACACTTTGTAGAAGGTTTTTTCACTTACAGCAAAGTCCTTGGCCTTCTAGTTGTCTTAAAAATACATCTAAACAGATTTTGTTTTTAGGGCCAGTCTAACATCTCCTGTGCCAATTCTTTAGGAGACAATCCACAGTGCATGAATCTTTTCATACTTTGGATTGAAAAGTAAA